TTTTATAGGGCGTGGCACTTATATCTGAAAATCCACAATACTGAACATGAGGTTTTCTTTGTCTGTTCTGTTTTTGCTGTTCCTCTCAGCTAGTACCGTGTTAAGCCTTAAGGCTAGACTAGAGGTACAGTACAGTTAGTGCGTGTTTATTGTTAGGGTCTCTTGTTTCCTTAGACTTGTGGTGGATGACGTTTGAATTCGCTTCCAAAGGTAATGACTAATAAGTTATGTCTGTGCTATTTAATGTGTCTTGTTTGTAGGTGAAGCGTTTCATCAACGAACATCTTCCAGAGTAGTATCCTTTATAATAATTACTGAATAATATTATTTTTGTAGTAATCTGGCTAATACTGTATAGCTTGAAAATTTGGCAAATTAAAAAAGAGGTTAAAATGTTGGCGAAATTTTAATTGTGTGCTTGCTTCTATGAAACCCTATCAAACTGGAGACTAAAAATTTGGCGAATGGCAATTTTTTTAGCTATACAGTATTGTGGGACTGGCTTTGTAATAACAGTAATAGTACATCAATTTGTTTACTATGTGGTAGATGACCATTGTGAAACTAACAGTACATAATATTGCGCATTATTAGATTACATTTGTCCGTGTTAAGTATTTGCTTATAGATAAACAATAAACGTTTATGATTACAATTAAATAAATTCAAAATTTTGTGTGGGCCAGTAAAACAGAGTAATTGCATTAATACACTATAGGTACTAAAGTCCATTTGTGTTCACCTGAGCCCTTGTTTTCTTGCTATAACTTTTGACCTACAAGTTCTATTGTAAAAATAAACATACCAGTGCATTCCTCTCCTTTTGCTGCATCTATTGTAGTGCTTAAGAAGTAGCTGTAGCTCTTTAGCTCCAAGTTGGTTGTATAACCCATGCAGAAAGTACAGCCGGCATACTTTTCACAATATTATTGCATTGTGTTAATTATTGGGTGGGGTCTGTAATCACTTCCTGGGCTCAGGTGAATGCAAATGGACTTTAATATGTATTCCAGTATAGCTTGTGAAGTGGATTATTGTTATTGTTTCTTAATGCATTTGGCACTCAGTCCTGATGTTGAGATAAAGTATATAGGGGGTAAGGATCCTGAGTTGCTGTTTTTGGGTGAAGATGGTCAAAGTGTGGAGGAGGTGAGTTCTTGCTGTCTCTTCGGTTCTTTCTTGTCTTTGTCTTGCATTGGTTCATATTCTTACATGTTGCCAAGTACTGAATCTAGCTTATGAATGTGGTTTGTACTGTGTAGTATATTATTGTATTGTTTTTGGAGTGTAGTAAAGCAATTTCAGTATTCTATGATCCTCTTTGTTCTCTTTTCTCAGTGTACTTCTACATGTAGCTATGTATTGTACTTGTTCTTTATCCTTTCCTTCTCTTTCCTCTCCCTCATATTCTCTCTCTAACTCTCTTTCTTCCTCTCTCTCTCTCTCTCTCTCTGCAGCGTGTCAGTGTCATTAACATGTCTGAGGATGAGATTAATGCACTCCTTGAGTCTAAAGGTATTCTAAAGCACAACGCTACACCTGAAGGAGAGGCAGACAATGGTGCTGATGAACCTCATCAAGATTTATGAATAAATGCTTCATAGTTTTGCAGACTAATAGTTACTTAATTCTAACCTCTCATTTGTACATGCATAACTGAACTGCTTAACTCTGTCAGTTTGTGGTTGTTGCCTATATATGTATAATGATGTGACCAGCATAAAGAGTGTTTCTGTTGGTTGCTGATGTTTTATTACATGATAAGGTAGCAGTGCAGGCTTTTGGTGTAATCAGATCAGAAAATTTAATAGTCAAAACAAAATATTTTAAATTTCAAGGATCAGGTTATTCTTGTTTTTATTCCGCACTTTTGCGAACTCCGTTCATGAACCGGAATCTACAAGTTCAATTATTTCTACAGCCACGCCTGACTGTAATAGCAATGCAAGTTGCAAAATGATGTCCTTAAGCTTGTGCTCTTTTCTCCTTCTCTTCGTCTCCCTAGTGTATGGTCAGTATAGCATACACTGCTGAGTATTATTTACAGTATTTTAGGTCAGGAGCGTGGCTCGCTGAGACTCATTCGCTTCGGGCAGTACTCGTCCAGTCATACAAGCGGACGACTGCAGGTCTACTACAACGACAACTGGGGCAGCATATGTGGGCATCCTTCCTCTTCTCCCTTTTCTGTAGAGGCAGCTACCGTGGCCTGTCGTCAGTTAGGCTATCAGGGAGCCCGCTCTTTCTCTAGAGCTGCTGGTGACACGTAAGTATTTGATTTCACTTAGTAAGTAAAATCATTTTTAACTATCTTTAATATAAGCCTAAATGGCAAGTGCTTATTGTGACATATCTTTAAGAAAAGCATGAACCGATTTTCCAGTATAATTTATGTACATATGCACGCACACAATTAAAAGTTTAATTTCATATACATGTATTATAAATAATTTTTATTCTCTCCCTCTTCTAGCTATGGTACTGGTGCTGCTGCAGTCATTGATGACATTAATTGTGCTAGTGTTCCTCAAGCTCTTGTCTTATTTAGGTGTTCCTTTAGTACATATGTTGATTTGGCATGTACTGCATCTGATGATGTAGGAATTGAATGCTGTAAGGAAACACAGAATGAAAGAATAACTTGAAGATACTTATATCTCCCTTTCTTTATTCCTCCCCTTTCTCTCTCCTCTCTCCCATCCCTCCAGTTCCTAATAGAATATGGTCTAATCCATTCCCTAAGATGGTGCGATTGCAAGATGGTATCTACTCTAATGAAGGTCGTGTTGAAGTATACTGCAGTGGCCAATGGGGCACAATATGCTCTCAGACTGCATTGAGTACAGCTATTGCTGATACTTTATGCAGACAGCTTGGGTACACATCCTCCACTAATTCAACTGCCATGTGAGTTTGGGTCCAAAATATGTGTCATAATTATTGTTGTCCAAACAGTAGTCATTAAATCATGCATCTTAAATTGGAGTAAAGGTCATAATACAAAGACTATGCATATCATCATCATATATGTATAATGCATTTATAATGATGACATTGATAATGATCATCATATTTACAATGCTATAATATAAGCGTCATTTCAATATGTGTCATACCATACGACAATAACTAAAGTTGTACAACTACAACACTAAACTGGTGTATATTGGTCACAACAAGTATACTGTAAGGTGTATATATGTACACCACTATATTTGTTATTATAATTATTATCATTTGTTGTTGTTCTTGTATGTGCATCACTATAGTGCTGACATGACTTGCTTATAAATTCCTATTGTCATGTGGTTCCATAGTGACAATAATCACACTTTCTCCCTCCCTCCCTCCCTCTCTCCCTCCCTCCTTCTCTCTCTCCCTCCCTCTTTCTCTCAGACCGTACAACATTACAACTGATTCCAATCATATTGCTCATGGTGGTATAGCTGGTACCTGTTCGTCCAGTCAAGTATGTCTCCGTAATTGCATCAATAACTGCTCACCAACCACTTGTGGAGGATACCCAACACCATACATTACCTGTGGTATGAGAAAATTTATACTAAAATTTTATATGCCTACATTATCCACATATACATCTATACATGTACATGTACTTGGATTTTTTATTTTTAGAATATTCGACATCGAGTACTACAACCTCTCTATTAAGAACATGTGATACTGGTATGTTAAAATGTTTCATCACTTTAATTATGTCTATTTGATTACAGGGACATACCCCAGGGGAGATGGTGCCATCAGATTAGTCCAGAACAATCAGACCTCACCCAGCTACACCTCGGGAAGGGTACAGGTTTATTATAATAACGACTGGGGTAGTATCTGTTTTAGATCAACGTTCTCTGATACAGTTGCTAACGTGATCTGTCATCAATTAGGATTCACACATGCACTGAGCTGGAGCTATGCCTCCAATGACAGGTACTATAGCTAAATATAGAAATGTATGATGATGTAATGAGTGATACTATTTATAGAACATGGTTCTATATTTAGAGCTTATACAATGTAGTTTTATTTATAGTACAGTCAATTACTTCTTTTAAATGTGATATATTCTTGTTATTAAAAATAGCACTTATTATATTTCTTTTTTATAGTTTTGGTATTGACAGCTATAAGCCTGTGTTTGATGACATTCAGTGTTCCAGTGGTCAACTGTTGAATGTACAGCAGTGTTCATACAGTACTGACATCAACTTTGAATGCACTGATAGAGATGATGTATCCGTTACATGCTGTAAGGAAAATAAATTATTCTATTACTTGTGTAACCAGTATACAAAGACTAGAACACATACTAAAGTAGTAGGGAAAGTTGTAAATAAAAGTTATACATGACTTCTGAACTGCTTGGCACAATCATGCATAAGTATACACGTAATTTTGACATAACATTAGTCTGTCAAGATATATTATTATTATTATTATTATTATTATTAGCATTAGAGTATTAGTATTGTTATTATTTTTCAGCTCCTACTAGATATGAAGATACTCCCTTTGATGGTATGGTAAGATTGAATGGAAGTGATTTTACTAATGAAGGACGCATTGAAGTGTATTGCAGTGGGCAATGGGGTGTGATATGTAATACATTGGCTTCATCAGGTATTAGGACAATATGCAGACAACTTGGATTTAATGATTACTTCTCTTCGTCCACACTCTCCATGTATGTAGTTATACATCTACTTTAATGTTATGTTTAAGTGTGTCTGTATCTGTGTGTGCTTTCATGCATTTGAGGGGGGATTGCTTGTATTAATTTATCTGTCAAAAGTACTTTTTACATAAATTTAAAGTAAAAATATTCTACCCTCCTCTCTCTCCTTCCTCGTTCTCTCTCTCTCTCCCTCCCTCCCTCTCTTCCTCTAGTCCAAGCACTTCTGTCGTTCCAGTGTGGTTCTCTTCTCTCTCTTGTTCTTATTCTTACAACTGTGTCTCTGATTGTAGTTCGTGTCCATCTTCTCCATCTTTTGCTTGTTCTCATGATTCTGCAGCTATTGCTCAATGCTGTAAGGGACTATTGGTACCAAAAATAATTTATTTTACAATTATTTCTTGTTAGATAATGATAGAAGTGCTAGTACTATTTCTCAATCAGTGGAGACATGTCAACTAACACAAACTGGTACAATTACTTATCATTACATGAATTATTATTATTTTTATTATCATCATCATCATCATCATCATCATCATCATTATTATTATTATTACTTTAGGAACAGCAACTCATGGTTCAATCATACTATATAGAAATGGTACTGTATCAAACAGATTCACATCTGGTCGTGTTCTCATATACATTACTGCTTGGGGCACTATATGCAGATATGCTTCCTTTGGTTCTACTGAAGCTGATGCTGTTTGTAGGCAATTGACATATACAGGAGCTTCTGAATGGTCTTATTCACAAATTGACAAGTATGAGTCTATTCTGTATGTGTGTGGGTGTTTGTGTTTACATGTCTCATATTTGGTGTAGCTATGTACCGTATAGCGGGTTTTTTTTTGAGGATAATAAATTTCGCGAATGACCCATATCCGGAAGTTTGCGGAATTAATTTTCGCAAATTTCCACTAATCTGCCATCTTGTACCGTATTAAATTGATTTTCAAGAAATTTAATTCCGCGAATCATGAAATAATCAGCAAAATTCGCGAAATTTGTTATCCTCGAAAAAACCCGCTATACGGTATTTGGTGTACTTAATAAAAATTCAATCTCCTATTTATAACTTTTTTATGTTGAGCAAAAATTTTGAGCCTCTGTGATTACAATTGGAGTTTTACAAATTTTAAAAGTTGCTCAAAATTGGGCTATTGGTCAAATTTCACCAAAATTTAAAAGGAGCGAAATCCCCATTTTAATATATTTTTTCTGATGCATATGCATGTTCGTATTTTGTGTAGAAAATTTGAACTAATTTTGATCAAGTTGAATTTTTTAAGGAATTTTAAAAGTTGCTCCAAAATTGAGCCAAAATCTGTGTACTATAATAGTACAGGGTCATTGGCCAAATTTCATCAAAATTGAAAGGGTGTGAATTCTTCATTTTTATGTATTTTTTCTGATGCATATACATATACTTATGTTGTGTAGAAAGTTTAAACTGATTCCAACAAAATTGAATTTTTTAATGAATTTTTAAGCTAAAAAATCTGACCAAAAACCCTGTAATATAGTTCAGGCTTTTTTTGCCAAAAATTGCTTGGAAAAAGATAATTTTTACTTGTTCTAAACCTCTCTCCCTGCTAGTTTTGGCACTTATGCTACTCGCTCATACGTATTAATTGATGTTGATTGTAGTGGAGGTGAAGATGTATTACTTCAATGTTCTACTAGTGTTCTAACTAATATTGCTTGTAGTGATCAAACTGATGTATCAGTTACCTGCTGTAAGTTACAATAATTATAGAGATTTACTTGCTGTAAGTTAAAAACTAAAATAATAGTACATGTTTTTAGAAAAAATTTGTTCACGTCCCAATGTATTTTGGTGAATGTAATTTCTAAGTTTGTGTTGATTGGTGGATTTCAATTTGGTGTCCATATGCCATTGAGCATGCATGTGATGGTATCAAAATGATGGATTTTATTTTAGGGAATAGCTTTAAAAGCCAAATTTGCACAGCTATACTGTATATACCTACAGTATATTCAACATTATTTATTTTAGTTTCTTTATCTCTTCTCTCTTTCCTTCTCTTTCTCTCTCTTTCTCAATAGATGAAACCAGGATATGGAATAATCCTTACAATGGTATGGTGAGACTGGTTAATGGCGATTTCTCCAATGAGGGACGTCTTGAGGTGTATTGCAGTGGACAATGGGGCACTGTCTGTGATAACTCATTCAGTTCTACTGATGGACTGACTGCTTGTGAGCAACTGGGCTACAATAGAATCATCAGTACAGATTATAAAAGCGAGTAAGTGATTTGGTAATTATTATTGAGGCACAAAATTTGACTGATGGACTAACAAGATTGAATAACACGTACTTTATTCATTAAAATATACTTATAACAAAAATACGTCATCTTCTTATGATACTGCATATTGATTATAATAATAGGAATATTATTAATCAATTAGTGCAATTATTCTTTGTTAACTTATTGTACCATTTATATTATAATTTATTAGAGTATTATTATTATTTATTACTAGTCCTGGTAATGCCAGTCAGCCCATATGGTTGACCAATGTTGCGTGTACATCAAGTGATACTTGTCTAACTCAGTGTAACTCTTGTCCAACTGCATCAGTATCATCTTGCTCTCACTCGGAAGATGTGTACATTAGATGCGGTTAGTTGACCTTAATAATTAATTAACTTGTAACTGCTGTGCCTTAATACTTTTATTTTATAATCTTCTTTTTCATCTCTCTCTATTTCTCCTTTTTCAATTTGTCTCTATTTCTTCAAACTTTATAGGTATTTCAGGTACTCCACAGATTAGTTCCTGTAGATATACTAGCTCATTTACGGGTAATTACTATTATTATTATTATTATTATTATTATTATTATTATTATTATTATTATTATTATTATTATTATTATTATTATTATTATTATTATTATTATTATTACTATTATTATTATTATTATTATTATTATTATTATTATTACTATTATTATTACTATTATTATTATTATTATTATTATTATTATTATTATTATTATTATTATTATTATTATTATTATTATTATGTTACTGCTACTACTGTCATCTTGAATATTGCATGTAAACCAGACAGACTATAATTTCTAGTCGCATTCTTTGAATTCCACTTATTTCTTAATCTTCTTTTTTCTTTCTACAGAATCTCCACAATCAGGGGCCATTATACTAACAAGGAATAATGAATACTCACCTTCCTTCACTTCTGGTCGTGTAGTAATGTACGGTATTGGCTCTTCAACTGCCAGCAACAGAAGGTGGGGCAATATCTGTAGACTTTCAGTGTTCCAGCAAGCTAATGCTGATGTTATTTGTCATCAGTTGACTTTTAGTGGTGCTTCATCATTTTCATATGCTGAATTGGACTTGTGAGTAATACAATTTTTTTTGTTATTTTTTTCCCATTTACATCATGTATCCATATTAATGTTAATCATTAATACACGTACATATGTTAGATAATGTTCATTTCTTGTAATGGTACGCCCCACGATGATATTATGAGGTTGAGAAGGTTTATAAAGACAGCTACTGGCTACATGCAGATGCTGTCAGTTAATTAATTTAGATCTTCAAGCTAACAATTTTTGGAAGGGACTTTTATAAGTCCCTGAGTGATATCACATTAACCCATACATTAATTCCTTATGAATATGAATATGTACTACATTCACACAATGTGATGTAGTATCAAAGTTTGCATTGCAATACGTTACTACTGGACAAAGCTGAAATCTCATGTAGATGTGTACATTTTAGTTGTATTACAGTGTAAATCAGTTCTTTTTCAGTTCATATTTGATTTGCATCTACTGTACATGTAACGTATTCCCTCTTATAAATGTAATAATTACTTTGTTAATCCTCCTTTCTTTATTTCTCCTCAGGTTTGGCACAGATCAATCCATTACACTATTGGATGACGTGTCTTGCTCTTCTAGTGAATATTTGATGCTATTTCAATGCTCAGTGGACACTGTGATCAATTCTTTATGTACTAATGATGATGATATCTCTGTTACCTGCTGTAAGTATAATAACTTCTACCATTATTGTTGTTGTTTGTTGTTATTATTTGTTGTTATTATTCTTGATAGATTCAACTCGTATATGGAATGATCCATTCAATGGTGCTGTAAGACTATCAAATGGTGAATATGTGAACTCGGGTCTGTTGGAAGTGTACTGTAATGGAGAATGGGGAACAGTTTGTGACGATTCTTTCAGTTCTAGTGCAGCAACGGCAGTTTGCAGACAATTAGGATACAGCAGCTTCTATAGATTTGAGCATTTGGAACTGTAAGTTATGTACATGTTCTGTATAGCTATACTATATCCCAACTGAGTTTGACCCAAGAAAAACTGAAATAACTTTTTATAGGAATGTGGAATAAGGATGAAACTTTCACAGGTTCTTAGTGGCCCAATGCCATCACAGCATTCACAGGATCTCAGCCCATGGGAACCCTGAGAGGTTCTCCCTATAAAGTATAAACCCAATGGCGCATACTAAAATGATGTTTTATGACAATTTGTCTACGTCATAGTTATAGAAAATGTGGATGGTAAAATTTGTGCATTATGCATGTAGTCTATTTCTGGAAAAGCTTTAAGCCTTTGAGACTACATCATAGATAAGAAGAATAAAGATGCATCATACATATCACTTCCTTAAAATTTTAGCAAATGGAGCTTCATTTATTCCACCAAATTTCTTTTAATTGCTGCTTGTGCATGTATGCTGTAGCTTAGTACATGTGATCATATTTTTTTCGTTTTTTCACTTGATTCTTTCCTCTTCAGTGTTGGTACATCTAGTACTCCTATATGGTTGGATGACTTGTCCTGTTCTACTGGTGATAGCTGTCTCTCTGACTGTCAGAGATGTCCTGGTAGCTCCGACAATCACAACTGTGTGCACTCTGAAGATGTGACTATTACATGCAGTGAGTATAGAGGGAGAAGGGGAGAGAGGAGAAAAGGGAGAGAGTTGAAGATGATTGAGGGTAGAAAAGGATGAGAGAGACAATATTAATCTTTTCCTATTATCTTCATGTTCACATTAGCATCTACAACTCCCAGTGGTAGCTCTAATCCCAACTACAGAACCTGTTCATGTAAGTCAATTGAACAATGTATACTGTGGTATAGTTAAATATTTATTTTTGCATTATTAGATATTAACACTGGTGCTATTATAGGCGGTACTATAGGAAGTGTTGCTGGTGTAGTAATAATTTCAATATTAGTATTCTTAGTATTGAGAGACAAGCATAAGAAGGGCCAATTGCACAACCCTTTCCGTAATGTGAGAAACCCTTTCCGTAATGTGAGAAATCCTTTCCGTAGCATACGATGGAACGTCCCACAAAGCACAACCACTCCTACTCCAGCCAGAGCCACCATTGAGCTGGAGACTATTCCAGCCCCTCCCACTAATCAGCCACAGGAACCAACACGACAACCGCCTCCATCTTATAATCCTAATGGTTATCCACCAGTCTCCGAGCAAATTCCTACTGCTCCACAGCAAGAGCCACTCCCCTATCCTACGGTTGGTATTGGGGCAGGGCTTGCTTATCCTCCACCCACTCAGTTTGGTTTTAATCCGCCCACCACTGATCCTGATTCTAAATCTCCTCCTGTTGATGTGCCTGCTGCATCCGACGGGGAAGGACTTAGGAAAGGGGAACCTCCTCCATATGATCCGTCTTGGGGCTACCCACCTACTTATTGATGAGAGACATTCTGTGTTTTATCAGGAGCCTGGTTTTATTTTATATTAATCTTTTATATTTATGTTTATTAATAATTGTTCTACCCACGTGTTTTCACGTGGTTGGTTTTAGTCACAATTGGTCATCTCCGTAAATTCTTAGCGAAAAAAGGTTAAGTGTTAAGACCTAAAATTACAACTATGGCTGATTGTGCTGTTCCTATTTTTGTCTCTGTCTCTTGGCTGAAGGATAATCTAAACAAGCCTGGGATCAAGTGAGAAGCAGGATAAATACAACAGAATTACCTTCTCTGTCTCTCATTCAATTCATTCAATCTCTCCCCATCATAGGGTAATGGATGGTACATGGCATATGCCAATGTGGAAGAGAGATTCTCAAGTTGAATATGAAACGTAAGAACATCGTGAACACACAAAACGTGCTTCATCTTGATGGCTGCCAAATTTTACAATTTTAATGTTGGCACCAGCAAAAATGGCAGTAGATTTGATTCATATAGATTCAAAACAATAAAAATTACTTGTTTTTGCCAAAATTTATTGTTGTTTGTGCCTATTATATTTGCCCTTATCTTTGTCCTATTATTTGGCTTGCAGTTACTGCCAAACAATATCAATCTTCTTATTCCTTCTTGCGGCTTCAGTTGTACCAAGATGTACTCTTGGTTATACTGATAGAGTGTGTATACCTGACCTGGGTCAGTCTAGCTATGCAGATCATGAATGACATTACACCTTAGGTCTATAATAACATTGTGCAAAATGCAAAAATTTCCTTACAAGTTCTTGAGCTTCTTTGCACTATCATGATGACATCACGATTAGACTACATTAAGATTTACTGTATCTAGACATGCTTTGCTTGCCATATGCTTATGTTTTACATTTTAATGTATGGTGGTAATTATTCTCATGCATTACGCATTTTCCAGTCAGCATATTGAAGGTGCAGTTAAGTTCAATGTTGATGCTGTAGCTGATAAAAGCAGTGATTTGCCACGTGCTCTTCCACCAATAGAACAATTTGAAGACTACATTGGAAAGGTAATGTGGGCTGTATAATGAGGATGCCCCTAATAATAAAGAATCTCATTTTTTCTTATTTCTAGCTGGGCATTAGCAGTACTGATCATGTTGTTGTATATGATAATAATGCAAACTTTGGAATGTTCTCTGCCCCAAGGGTTTGGTACACATTTAAAGTTAGCTGCTCACTTTTTAAAGAATATTCTTGATTGCTTGATGCTTCCAACTTCCCACTCTCTCTCTCTCTCTTCACTGTATAGTTGTATGGTCATGATAAAGTATCAGTATTGGATGGAGGATTGCCAAAATGGTTGGAGGCAGGAGGGCCTGTAGAATCTGGAAAACCACAAGTAGAGGTACTACATGCAAAGTACATGTACATAATATTATGATGATCATAACTTTAACACTTTAATATTTTTAGGCTGTGACATATAAAGGAAGTTATCATCCTGAGTTGTTTGTTAATTTTGAAGGAGCTCTCCAGGCATACAAGAATAATCCAGCACAAGTATGTGATTATTATTTGTAGCATCTTATGCTTTGTTAGCATAGAGACAATAATACAGAGTATTTTGTCGGAAAAGAGTTCTACATTTTAATATTTTTTCTGATACATATACATGTCCTTATGTTGTGTAGAAAGTTTGAACTCATTCCAATCAAAATTGAATTTTTTATGAATTTTTAAAGTTGCTTCAAAATTGGACCAAATTCCCTGTACAGGGTTGTTGGCCAAATTTCATTAAAAATAAAAAAGAAGTCGATTCTTCATTTAAAATTTGTTTCTGATGCATATACATGTTCTTATGTTGTGTAGAAAGTTTAAGCTGAATCTGATTAAAATTGGATTTTTAAAGGAGAGAATTCTCCATTTTAATACTTATATCTGATGCATATACATGTACTTATGTTTTGTAGTAAGTTTGAGCTGGTTCCGATCAAAATTGAGTTTCTTATGAATTTTTTTAAGTTACTCAAAAATTGGACTAAATCATTACTGCCATTATTATAGATACTTGATGCAAGACCAGTTGGTAGATTTGAAGGACGGGATCCAGAACCAAATCCAAGTATTATGTTTAATATTTTTATTTTTAATAATTATTATGTATATTTTTTGTACAGAAATACCCAGTGGACGTATCATAGGCTCTACTAACGTATTCTGGCGTCAGTTTATTGATCCAGAAACTAAACAGATCAAGAACAATGAAGGCATTCAAAAAGGTACTTTTAAACATGATCCTAACAGCTTGCTTACATATAATCCTCTTCTCTATTCCTCACTCTTTCTCTTCTTCTAACCTATTTCTTTCTCCTTTTCCTGCTCATCTGTCTTCTCTCTGTTCTTCAGTTTTTTCAGATGCTGGTGTCAATCTTGACAATCCTAACATTGCTTCATGTGGCAGTGGTACAACTGCTTGCTGGATAGCCATTTCTGCTAGTCTGTGCAATAAAGCAATGCCAGTTTACACTGTATGTGTTCAGTAGTTTGATGTTGCATAGCTAGCATCATAAAGCTATATTTAAAAACTTAAGTTTTAATTAATTATTATTTTATGTTGTGTTGTGTAGGGTTCATGGATTGACTGGTACAAAAGAGGACCAGAAGACTCAAAGATAATTGGTGTCAAAGGAGAAGATTTGAATAAATAGCTTGGATCATGTCTGGACAATATTTTGTGACCTCTTTCATGTTATTAACATGCAGCATAAATTTTTAGGCCTTCCTTGATAAATTAATTATTTGTCATTAAGAATTTCCGCTTTAATTGCGTATGATAAATAGCTGTTCTTGACTTCTCAGCTACTTCACTTGTCAGATTAGATCTAGTTGAAGTCAAGCGAAACATAATGTGTGACCCTGGTCCTCCTACGGTCCATCCTGGGCCTCAGTCTGCTCCTCTGCTAGTATCTGTCTCTTGGCTGAAGAACAATCTTAAAACTCCTGGAATAAAGTGAGTGAGAGCGTCACCATATCTATGGTGTCACGCTGCCTTTTGTCCCACTGCATATGATCTGACTTCACATTATATATAAAAATAGGATCCTTGATGGAACTTGGCATGCACCAGCATGGAATAGAGATGCTGAAGCTGAATATCTGAGGTAGATCTACTAAAATAATATCTACAGTAATATTAAAGCAACCTTTTTGTAATTTGTAGAGCTTGATTTTAGTGAATTATTTTTAAAGAAATGCCGCACTCATGCATTGGATTAACTCAATGCAAAAATACCGTATATATAGCTGGAATTATAGTTTGCAATTTTGAACTAATAGAGCAAATTTTAATGCAATTTTTCTGGTGTAGGCGTGAACTGTTGATACACCTATTAATAACCTAGCTATAATGTCCTTTGCGGAATTAAACTGTACGTTTTTATGTGATGAAACAGCAAATAGCAAAATTAAATTCCAACAAATATTTCCAGTTATACGGTTATTTAGAACATGTTGCTTAACAAAATCAAAGTAACCACAAATGTTGGTAGCAATATTTTGCCTATAACATGGAGGGCTTCCAATGCACATCATGCATGAGGAAGCCACACTATAATTTGTAATTTGCACTGCAGTAGTAATTATGCTTAATTTGCACAAGAATGTGGAGTGATTGATTATGTGTAATCAACACACTGACTTTACTCATTCATTATCTACTCTTGTCATTATATGCAGTCAACACATTGAAGGAGCTGAAAAGTTTAATGTTGATGAAGTTGTTGACAAGACGTCTTCCCTGCCATACACTCTACCTCCAGTTGAGCAATTTGATGCCTATGTTGGTGGAAAGGTACTCTGAACATTCTTAAATGACACAAATAACATATTCTCCATTTTTCCATTAGCTTGGTATCAGCAATGACGATCATGTCATTATCTATGATAATTACAGTCCCTTGGGAATGTCCTCAGCTCCAAGAGTTTGGTATACTTTCAAGGTATCTCTTTATATCTTCTCCCCTCACTTTATATATATATTTTTTTCCTGTATAGTTGTATGGTCATGATAAAGTATCAGTTTTGGACGGAGGATTTCCAAAATGGTTGGAGGAAGGAGGGCCAGTAGGATCTGGAAAAATTATGGTAAAGGTATGTATGATACTCAGTTAGTAAATGGGTATAATTAACTGCAATCTACATTTACAGAGACAGCCTGTCAGTTATAAGGGGGTCTATACTCCTGAAGTAATCATAACATATGAGCAGTATTATGATGCATACTACAGCAAATCTGCCAAGGTATAATGTAAATGCTCTGCCATATAATAATGAATGCATGCATAGCTTCTTGATGCAAGGCCTGCTGGAAGATTTAATGGCACAGCTCCTGAACCAAATCCAAGTAATCATACTATAATGGCAATATTTATTATGTTAACATTTAATATAATGTTAGAATTTCACTCTGGGCATGTAAAGGGCAGTTCAAATTTGCTTTGGTTTAATTTCATCGACCAAAAGACTAAAACAGTCAAGAAACCTGAAGAAATTGTTAAAGGTATATACACTAATAGATAGAATAATCTTTTACCCTGTTATGCTCAATAATATATCATAGTTTTTGCTGATGTTGGTGTTAATATATATGAAGACAATTGCATAGGCTCTTGTGGAAGTGGTGTGTTCTCAACTTGGATTGCATTTTCTGCAAGACTGCTCAATAGAAACATACCAATATACACTGTAAGTAATGTGGACTGATGATATTATTGTAACAGCTTGTAAACAGCTTTTATTCTTGGCAACATGTGTATACTTAATTTAGCTATACTGCCAAAAAATAGTACATCTTTTCTTTTTATTCCTGGCAACATGTGTATTTGTTTATATGTTGTTACTTTATTACACTGATCAAGGCTACTATGATGTAAGGCCAAGCTTATAATTGTGTAGAGTAGACAAGAAACAGGGTTGACTGCAATGACTGGTGAAAGAAAAACAAAAAAGTTCATGTTAAGTCAAAGCTGCATTCACTGTTAACTTGTACAAATATACAAACTTCACCAGTTATACTATATCAACACTTTAGAATAAGCTTTTAATTACTTCGGTCTGTTGTGGTTCAGTATAATCAAAGTTTAGTATACACTACATTCTCACTCTTCCTTTTCCTTCAAGTATATATTTACTATTTACAACACTAATAGGGTTCATGGACTGAATGGTATCAGAGAGGGCCAGATGACTCGAAAGTCCTTGGAATAAAGGGAGAAGATTTGAGGCAGTAGTTTGAATTATCTCCTCTGTACTATTTTGTCTACAACTTTTAGTTTAGTATAGCTATATAACTAAGATTTGAAGCAGTAGCTCTGATTAACTTCTCCATATTATTATTTTGTACAACTTTTAGTTCACTATAGCTAACTTTTAGCATATTAGACATTTTAGCAGTATAAATGGCAAATAATAATAATAACAAAAATAATATTAAAACAATAACAAGATAAAAAGAAACAGTTATCATAGTAGTAGTTAGTAGAAAAAATAATGTCAATCTATGGCAAAGTTTCTATAAATGTGTGGAATCTAAAATCTGTTTGCAGATTTCTTTGTATCTCCAGACATCTCCTCCTATACGCTTTCGCTTGATGCCTAAAAAATAGTGATTTAAAATCTTTGTAGTCTTCTCTCCTTTTTCCTTCCCTCTCTCTTTCCCTCTCCCCTCTCTCTCTTAAGCCCAACATCCACTAGTCAACTTTGTTGAAATAAACAGAAATTTTGTTGCCAAAAGTAGAACACTGTTCTACTTTTGGCAACAAAGTTGACATACATCAAACTAACCACAAAGTTGCTTTCAACAAAGTTGCTATAGTGGATATTGGGCTTTAGACATTACATACCCATCATGCTGAGGTTTCCAATCAAACAAACTTCCAGTGAGAAAGTGAGTGGCTTCTTGCTACCTCTCTTCATTTGAGGCTCAAGCTTGCATATATATGTATAGCTGTAATAAAATAATAAAACAATTATTATACAAAAAGTATTTTTTGCTCATTGTCATCACACTATATCTTAAAAGATAGAAGATGCTGAGTGATTGATGCTGATACTGATATTGATGCTGATACTGATACAGATATTGACTCACTTGTTTTTCTTAGTAAACGGTATATTCATGTCATTCAAAACCCGTTCAATTTCCTGCATAACTTCACTCTCTGATTTACAAGATGTTGTATTAGCATCAAACAAGCCCTAAATGAAAAAGAATGAGTGACAGTAATGAATAGAAATTCATCTCAAAATTTAAACTATTTTGTAGTTACATGTATGCACAAAATTGACAAAATTAATGCTCATACTTATTGAATCAGTTTACACTTTCTACATAGCAAAGAATATCAATATGGATCTAAATTGGGGGTGATTTTGGAGCCTTTTTTAAAAAAAAACATGGGCTAATAGTCTATGCTTTTTTTCAAAAATTTGCTACCTTTCTAAAAATGCTCATAACCAATACATAAACTAAAAGAACATGTGCAATCAGTAAAAGTACCTTGACTGTCCTTGGTCCAAGATCTCCATTTTCTCCTCCAGAAGACGGGCGTCTAACAGCCTTCCTTAACTTTGTGAGCACAAAATCAACACTACCAAAACGACGCTACAAAAATACAATCAACTCACATAAAAGTCACTTGACACATTCTCTTACTCTGCTTTTTGGAGAGTGAGGGAGAGGCGGGAGAGATAGTTCTTCCGAAGAATCACCACCAGCTTTATTCAAACGAGAATCGTAAGACATTGTCCTATTAGTAATAATAAAGTAGAAGAACAAAGTACAATGTGCCGTATAGCAGGAAATTTTGAGGGAGTTAAATGTGGTGAATTGCTAAATTTTGGTGATTGGGCAAATTTGTAACCACATGTCATTGAGCATGTGCATAATGGCTCAAAATGCCAGCTTCTATTTTGGTGAATGGCTATCAAAATGCCAAATTTGCCAAATTTAACTCCCTCCATAATTTCCCACTATACAGTACATGTAGTGGAGTAAAGTTATAATTGTCATCACTATAACCACATAAATGTAATAACTATGGGTGACGTAAAGCAAGTAAAATGAATCCCACAAGTCATGACTTGACCCCAATATTAATTGTGACAAAATTTACTTCACAACTTTCGGCTGCAACTGTGGAGTAAGGAAAGGAGCATAGCCAGGAATGCCGCCTTGGAAGCTGGCAGAAGGAGCAATGGATCCAGGAGGAGAGAGAATGGGAGGAAGTGTCAGCGTCTTTGGCTCTTTTTGCTTCACTTGTACTGGGAATGAGCCTTCATCTGAAAAAATTTTTTTGAATAATTTCTATTTATTCCACTGTTTTCTCTTTTTTTTAATTTTTCTATTTTCGTTTATGCTTTTTTTTTCTACTTCAATATCTCTTTCTCTAGCTTCCTCTTTCATTTTTAAATTCTCAATCTCTATTTCTTTTCTCTCTCTTTCTCTCACTCTCGCCCTCTACTGCCTCACTAGCTAGTATGTGGTTAATGGCTGGATAAACAGGACGGCCAATCTTAGGACTCTCAGCTGGTCTCCTCAGACTAACAATCTCCCCAAGTGTCGGAGGATGCATTGGCTGACCAAGACTGATCTTTCTAGTCCTACATAAAGTAAATAAAAGGTGTCATTATGCAGTAAAAAATAAGAATTATCTTCAAGAAAATTTGCAAAATGTCCTGTAAAGGATCCTTTGTCAAATTTTGGAGCAAGTTTAAAAATTCATAAAAAATAAATTTTGATCAGAATCAGTTCAAACTTTCTACACAACATAAAAACATGTATAATGATCAGATATCAATTATAAAAATGGAGAATTCACTCTTTTTCAATTTTAATGAAATTTGGCCAACGACCCTGTACTATAGTACAGGGATTTTGGCCCGATTTTAGAGCAACGTTTAAAATTCATTTCAAAAATCCAATTTGCATCGGAATCAGTTTAAACTTTCTACACAACATAAGTACATGTATATGTATCTAAAAATGAATAATTTTTTCCTAGCATGTAGTGTTATTATGCTAAAAACTTTATCAAAACTGAGACAGTAAAAGTATATCAAAGCTACTCCAATGAAGAGTTACATGTATGCTAGTCCATTAGACCTTACCTTGGACTAGATGTGATAGAGGTATTGGATGGAGGCTGAACCTTTACTTCAATATCTTTTGTTACTATAGGCTTGTCTTCATCACTTTCGCTCTCACTGTCTTCCTCTTTATCATCATCCGATATGCTGTTGTCATCTTCTTTCTCATTCTAAAGAAGAGAGAGAGAGAGAGTAAAGATGGGAGGGAGAGAGAGAAGGAGAGAGACTTTACAGTCACAACTATAATTGAAGGACAGTAAATTTCATAAATTCACCCAAAAAACTATATCTTGTAAATCTACAATAATCTTGAACTTATATATTATACTTATAATACTTATAACTTTAGTTTCAATAATATCATGAAAGCCATAAAATATTCAGCCCTCTATAATTATACATACACACTACATCATTACTGAAAGTAGACAGCAAGTGTACATGTATTAAGTATACTTTTGTTTTATCATATGCTAGAGATGAAGGCTTGTTGAGGTATGGCCTGTGGGAAGTAAGAGGTGAGGAAGGTCCTTTTTCATTCAGTGATGGAGCCCTGGTCACCACTTTCCTAAGAGAGGCAGTGATAGAAATGAAATGAAAATAGGAGGAACAGCATCACACAGTAAAAGTGATACAGTGTAGCCTTTCTCTGTATAATGGACACTTTGGGTCAAGAAAGTTGCTCTGTTATACAGAGGTGTCCTTTATGTGGAGGTTATTTTATACAGTAAGGAATGTAATTGGTATACTAGGTACTGTCTGTTAAATGGAGGTGTACGCTATAGAGAGTGTCCATTGAGTGTCCATTAAGAGAGGCTATATTGTATCTTTATTACAATAATTATTCCTTACTTTGGAGGCGCTTTAATTTTTGGTTCTTTCCCTGCTAGCTTTTGCCGAAAGAGAAGGAAATATGTAGCAGTCAAATGATCATAATCCCACTAATGAAAAATAAACAAACAAACAAACAAATTAATTAATAAATGTAGAAATATACTGTCATACTCTGAGGACTCTTTCTGTCATAGCAGTAGTTGATACGCCGTGATATCGAGAGAGCTCTTCAATGCAGTCAGTATCAAGCTCATTAATCTAATAATAGATCATGTATTGTTACTATTAATAGATCATGATCCTTACATCAATCTTGCTGTCCCATACAATGGGTCTAGAGTAGCCTTGCATTACCCACGGATGATTGAGTAACTCGTCTACAGTGACTCTTCTCTCAGGAATAGTCTATATAATAAATATTGACCATAAATAATACATGTATATAGTATATAAGTAGTTTAACATCTTCATTAAGAATGGGCCCACACTACCTGTCCTTAATACATGTACAGTGTAGCCTCTTTATTAAGGACACCATTGGGCCCACACTACCTGTCCTTAATACATGTACAGTGTAGCCTCTTTATTAAGGACACCATTGGGCCCACACTACCTGTCCTTAATACATGTACAGTGTAGCTTCTTTATTAAGGACACCATTGGGTCCACACTACCTGTCCTTAATACATGTACAGTGTAGCCTCTTTATTAAGGACACCATTGGGCCCACACTACCTGTCCTTAATACATGTACAGTGTAGCCTCTTTATTAAGGACACTATTAGGCCCACACTACCAGTCCTTAATACAGAGGTGTTCTCATTTTAAGTATATTTTTGTATAGGCTTGTACCAATTGGGACATTATAAAATGTCCCCATTATAAAGGTGTCCCTATTATAGATATTATACGGCACACACAGTGTGTGAATGAGTGCTTGTATTTGAATAGTATTCTTGTGTTGATAGTGACATTATAGTTTCATAGTAAGTATCATAGCAGTGAGTATTATGGTATAGTGGATACTGTATGTAGTGCATGTGCTTTAACTCACTTGAAGTAAAACATCAAGTATTTCCAAACTGTCTCTGCTTAACCAACGAGGCTTGTCATAGCGTCCATTCTAAGAAATAGAAAGCATTTATTTCTCCATACAATAAATCAATACACTGATACTTGTATGACATACATGCATGTGTACAGTATGTCTGGAGGTGCGTGTATAAGTAATGTAATACCTGAGGACTGAGATATCTGCTTGAGGTGAAGCTGAGGGCAGATATCAAGGGACTCAGGTATTACATTACTAATACTCACCTCCATACACACACACACTGGTCACTGTATATATTACTAGTATTAGTATTAGCAGATATACCTGTATTAGCCTGTATAGCTCAGCAGTGTTGTCATCATCAAAAGGTAGGAAGCCATTAAGGAGGGCATACAGTAGCACTCCAAGACTCCACACATCAGCTCTGGGCCCTATATAAGGACCACCTTTAATCAGTTCTATAAGTGAAATGTAGGAAATGAAAGGAAAGTAACAAGACAATGAAGACATGTATAGATAGGTAAGACTTATATAAGGACATATACAATGTATAAGAGAAACAGGAGATATAGATATTGGAGGGAAAGAGGAGAGGATTACCAGGTGCAGCATATGCAGGAGATCCACAGCAAGTTTTGAGTAAATGTCGAATATCCTAAAAATAAGTAATAAAAAATGAAATACTAATAATACTATGAATAAATAAATATAATAAATAATAAATAAAGAATAAGAGTAAACCTTTGGTTCAGCAACTAATCCAAAATCAATCAGTTTGATATTTGAATATTCATCAAGCAACAGGTTCTCCTATTATTATTATTATCATCATCAATTAAATATTATTTTTTGAGACTCAAACTCACAGGCTTCAGGTCCCTGTGTATGAAACCCGAGGTATGAACATATTTCAAAGCTGCTACTATCTGTCTGAAAAATGTCCTAGCCTCTGGTTCCTGTAAATAAAACAAAAATAATTATAATTAATACATTCTAAATGTTAGGGTATTGCACAAAATATGTAAAATTATCAGAACCCTTGCGTGAAAAATTAGAAAATTTAGAAAATTAGAACCCCTGCATATGAACATCAGAACCCTTGTAGAGGACACTACTACAACTACACACATGCATGCATGCATCACTCTATTATAGTATGTTACATACATGTACATGTGTTTAACTGTCTGATACTATAATATTATGAGATAATATGTAGTAGGAGTCGTAGTGAGTCCATAACAAATGTGATGTGTCATTTACTAAACAAACTAAGACATTCTTTGACTAATTTGTAGCCACAAATACACGTACAGACAAACAGACTGAGAGTAGTACAGTGCTGATATGCATGTAGCTATACTGTACGTATGGTATAGAGTATAACCTGTTTATTATTGACACTCTAAATTAAGAAGACTTCTATAATCAAGACAGGTAGCATAAACAAGAAATAAAACAATAACATGATTAACACTAATTAATAGTTAAACTAACACGGCATAACACATGCTAGATAAAGCACAAGAAATTAAGTACGTGTACAACAATTTACATGTACAACAAATTGTTGTACATGTGCTTTACCTAACATGTATTATACCGTGCTAGTTTGCAACTGTTTAGTGTTAATGATGTTATTGTTTTATTTCTTGTTTTTTTCAGTATCAGTCCCAATACAATATAAATCTGTATTAATGAACCTCTAAAATAAGGACAGGTTCATAATCAGGACAGTATTATTGGGTCCCAAGGTGTCCGTAATAGACAGGTTCAACCAATGACCATGCTCACTGATTTCATTACAGACTATAAGTACTTGAACTTACTTTCAGCTTCTCCTTGGCCACTATGTAATCGAATAACTCACCACCAGAACAATACTAAAGAATGAATGAGGAAATGAGGTACTAGTACTACTATACAGTGATCACTCACTTCTAAGATCATGTATATCATCAGGTCGGTCTCTATCACTTCAAACAATTGGCAAACGTGCTGATGATGAAGATTTTTCAATGCTCTCATTTCGCGATAGACTCGAGGCAAATCATCCTAAAAATCGAAAGAGGATTGATATTAGTTAACATAGCTGTGAACAAAACACTCAATGCAATACTGATGCAATTGATACCATTTAACACATCACTGATTTTTGACTACACATTAATGCTGCAGTTAATTCACAATTAATAGTGATACTAGACAGTTTTTATTGTAAAATTAATGGCCATTGGCAGGATTGTGTATGTGTTATATGTGTGTGTCATGCAATTTGACTCGGTGGCATTGTAAGTTGATAAAGCACAGAAATGGTGAGTAGTAGTGACTGCATGACGTATATGTATCACATTCATAGTGAAGCACTGTGTAGTAAATAATATGACTCACTCCTAATTGTATTTTATTCATAATCTTCACAGCAACCTTATTAAAATGGAGAAAGAGAGAGAGAGAGAGTGAGTGAGGGGAGGAAGAAAATTCAAAGGTGTAAAGGATCAATGCATTTATTCTTACTTTCTCTCCTGTTAGCTTATGTTTTCCAAGTTTGACTTTAGCAAAGCCACCTGCAGAAACAAAGGATATGGATCAATAACATAAAAAAGATGTTAACGCTACATGTTTATATGCATGTACAGTGTATTCCTTACCAGAGCCAAGGGTTTCAAATAGCTCGTAGTTTTCCTCAACTTCTGGATACCTCGGTCTAACATGCTGACGATGATGATGATGATGAGACATAATGTGAACACTAAAAGGAGAGAGAAAAGAGAAAGATAGGGAGAGAGAGAAAGAGGGAACGAGAAAGAAAGGCAGGGGAGAGAGAGAGGGGGAAAGAGAGGGAAGAATACAAAACTTGAAGAAGGGAATGATCTAAACAAACTGTTTCATAAACAAACAGAACAGAATACAATGGGAGTATATACAAGTAGGAAAAGGTGAGCTGGGGATCATGAATAACCTATGAATAACCTTAGACTGTCTCCAAGGTTTATTACACTTGTGTAAACAAGTACCTCTCTGATACCAGGAATAAAAGCCACAGACCATACCAGTCATTGTATTATTATTATTATTATTATAGCAGTCATGGAGCATAGCAGTGCATATGATGGGAATAAAGAAGAGCTGTTTATGCATTCTATGAACTAGTAAACAATGTCATACACATACACTGACACAAAAGTTTGTTTATTGTTATAGTATAGACTATCAGCCAGTTAATAGTCGAGCATGCCAATTCATATGAAAAAAATATCAAAATACAATAACTAGACCACCATGTAAGAAGTATAGGTCATCGATTGCTTATAGAAATAAAAATACACTTTTTTCGCTTGAAAGGTGATCCTACAAGACCATGTAGAGGTAGTGGTACCCTGTCATGCAATAGTTTATGTTAGGAAACAACTAAAAAGAATGTGACTAGCATAACGAGAGTTTAGGGAAGATTAATTGAGAGTAAATACTAACATACATGCATATATAGTATAGTGTGATGTCAGTAAGCAACCGTTTCAAAAACAGTGGGCTGATTGTGACTTTCAACATAAACTATACACAATAAATTTACCAAAATATGCAATACAGACTGTGATACACAGGAGTTTTTTTTTGCACCCCATTACAGCTCATTCACTGCTGTCATTATCACTACTGATGGTCACAAAAAGCCACATAAAAGCAAACGCAGAGAAACAGAGGCGCCGCCGCATTTTACACAGAAGTAAATTCTAACAGAAAGTACAGTGAAACAAATTGAAGGCAAAATGGACCCCTGCCCTTTTGCACAAAGCTGCTATTACAAACACTAATAAGGGATCGAGCTAATTAGAGCTCATTAACACCTCATACCTTGTACAGCTTGTACTTGCAAGAGAGAAGAGAGAGAGGGTTGACAAAGAGAAGAAGAGAAGACGCAACTAACACTCCTACAGCTAAGCCAAGGCGTGGCACCTCATAAAACTGTAGGCGTAACATTAGTAGGCGGTGCGTGGAAATAAAACTGGGTGGGGCTCAATAGCTAATTTGCTGAGCTCACTCACAGAGAGCTGTCAAAGTAAATTCAATACCATAAAAATAGAAAGGTATGACATAACTTGCTTCACTATTAATGATTCAGCTTTTGCAGAGCTGCTTACATAATGGAACAGCAAAGAAGAGGAAAAGACACTAAAGAAAGAGAAGGTGACAAGTCACAATTAAACTGGGAAAATATCATTTATTTGCAGGTCAATTGTACCCTAATTCTTCTGTTTTTCGAGATATACCCTCATTCATTCACGATCCTGTGATGAATGAGGAGCATAGCTCATCTCCTATGCCAATGGAAGGAATTGCTGGTTGTGAAAGAGAAAGATTATCACCTCCTACCTCTCATCATAATCAGCAGTATTATAGCAGACCTCTTCTCTCTGGTGAAGAATGTCTCAAAATGCTTGAAGCTCAGCTACTGTTGAGAGATTCTAAATTGAAAGAAAACGACAAAATACTGTTAGCGTATGAAAGAGGTGAATTCCCTCTTGAGCAAACACCAACAAAAACAAATAGAAAAGAAAGCAAAGAACTGGCTCAACCTCAACCTGACATGCAACAGCCTCTCCAGCAAATGCATAGCAGCTATGAGCAGCAATATGGTGAATCTGCATCTAAAAAGATAAAGAAAGATGAGGATCATGCTGCTGCAACAAGTAAAGAAGATGCTACTAGCATTAGAGACAGTGATAATTCTGAGATGTGCCTCCCTAATGAAAAACCTAAAAGTGAGAATGGAGTTAAACCTAATGAAGCCTGCAACGTAATAATAAGGAAACACACTCCATTAAGTAATGATTGCATTACTACTGCTATATCAAGCAAGACTATTGAAGCAAGTGATGAGCTTAATAGAGGAGTTGCAAGTACTGCTATTGCTAATGGAAGCACTTCTAATGTTAATACTGCTGCTGCATGTACTGGTACTGTAATGCCATCATGTGTAAGAGGTGAAAGATCAGCTCAGATCTATCAATCAATGATGCAAAGAATGCATAGAAAGAGTCGATTGTGTACAGAAGAATCAGTTTCAGCAAGAAATGTATGTCATGCAGTTGTTATACACATATTGTATTAACAATATTCGAGAATGTGCAGTGTCATTGTGAATCTGTCAATGAATACAATTATATTCTGTCCATATTAGGATACAAGTAATGATGAAGCAATTGCAAAAGCCTTGCAAGAAGAATGGAGAAAAAATCAATCACTTCCAAATGAAAAGGTATAGATAAAGAAATAAAATTTAATGGAGCTAATAATACTTGATTTACCTCTCCCTCTTTCTCTTGTAGGAAGAAGCTGATTTTAGATTAGCCCGTCAAATGCAGGAGCAATTCGACAATGAAATGGCTCAAGCAATAAACAGCTCTGGGAGTGTAATAGTAACACAATACAGTAAGTTGAATATGCAACCAAATATGTAAATACAGCTTGGTACAGTCATTCATTCACTTATATACACAGTGATGGACAATGGGTGACGTGCACAAAATGAAAGATAAACCGTCCAAGTTTATAATAATAAGCAAAATCTTCCTATCATATTATTACAATGAATGTACTTCATACACCAGACAATGTACTTAAACATTAGTGTAGAATCATAAACATTCTCCCTGTAGACAGAAAAAGCTACATTACTTAAAATGCATGTGCATGTACATACATGTTGTAGTACTAAGCATATGTAACGTGTACATGTGCATGTATTATTGTAATTATAATAGGTCCATATGCAGAGCCATTTCAAGATGCTCATCGTGGTTATACTAAAATCGCTCCAAGAGGAGCTGTACCAGGAAGAGAACAGCATGGACGATTAATAACTGGACAAATGAGACCAACTTACGATAGAGGGAACAGCTCTGGGTATGAGAGTGGGGGAGGGGCCATAGAAGATATGTCATACGAGGTAATGCAATAATAAATAAATTATTAATTGATTATTAGCATTGGAATAAATACATGAGCTTATTTGCATTTTTATGTATTTGTATTTTTTATTTATTTGTATTTTTAATACACAGAGGCTCTCAGAATTGGAGGACGTGTCTGTTGGATTAAGTTTTAATGAATTGACTCGATTAACACGTGTCACTACTTATGATAAGGTCAGCTATAGACTAACACACTAACATGAATTACAATAAAACGCATCTCTCTTTTCTATCAGTTCCCTCTCTCTCTCTCTCTCTCTCTTTTCTATCATTTCCCCCCTCTCTCTCTCTTTTACTTACATAAATAATAAATATATTCTCATCACTAATTGCAGAGTGAAGGTGGTGGAGACATGTCACGCTCCTGCAGTATTTGTTTTGATGAATACGTTCAAGACCAACAGTTAAGAGTTCTGCCTTGTTTCCACAAGTTTCACAGACACTGCATTGAGAAGTGGTTGTCTGAAAAACCAACTTGTCCTGTCTGTTTGAAAAACATTGTGTCATAAAAACACTATATGCATGTACATGTACTTGTATAAAGTTTTATTGTATATGTGAGGTATGTTGATAAAATAATTTATTGATATAATAAATACACATAATTTTAGAAGTAAAAGTAGGAAGTAGGAACATACTACATACATGTAATATAGCAAAATAGGAGAAAATAGAAGGAGAAATAAAAACAAAGGAGAGAATTAGAGAAAAAAGAATACATAGAAACATATTGATTACAGTGTTTTTGTTAGTCAGTTTTATCTCCATTGAATCCCATTAGTTTATCCAAATGGTCAGCAAACAGTGATGGTTGTCCTTGTTCATAAGGTTTTAGTGTTCCTGGATCTAATGTCTCAATAGTCTCATATAATGATCTAGCAATGGAAAGAATATAACAATATGCTAAATTGAAGGAAATGTACATATTTCATTGGGAAAATTAATGTATTATCTGATATACATGTACACATAAAAGTGGAGAAGGCACTTAGGCCCATTTTGGAGAAACTGAAACAACTTTTAAAATTCATAAAAAAATCCAATTTTGATCAGAATCAGTTTAAAATTTCTACATAACATATGTACATGCGTATGCATCAGAATAAATTATAAAAATAAAGAAATCTCTCCTTGCCAATTTTGGCAAAATTTGGCCGATGACCCTACAGGTACTTTAGCTCAATTTTTGAGCAACTTAAAAAATTCGTAAAAAATCCAATTTTGATCGGAATCAGTTCAAACTTTCTACACAACATAAGTACATGTATATGCATCAGGAAAGATTATAAAAATGAAGAATTCTCTCCTTGCCAATTTTGGCAAAATTTGGCTGATGACCCTGTACTATAGTACAGGTACTTCGGCTCAATTTTTGAGCAACTTAAAAAATTCGTAAAAAATCCAATTTTGATCGGAATCAGTTCAAACTTTCTACACAACATAAGTACATGTATATGCATCAGGAAAGATTATAAAAATGAAGAATTCTCTCCTTGCCAATTTTGGCAAAATTTGGCTGATGACCCTGTACTATAGTACAGGTACTTCGGCTCAATTTTTGAGCAACTTAAAAAATTCGTAAAAAATCCAATTTTGATCGGAATCAGTTCAAACTTTCTACACAACATAAGTACATGTATATGCATCAGAAAATATTATAAAAATGAAGAATTCTCTCCTTGCCAATTTTGGCAAAATTTGGCCGATGACCCTGTACTATAGTACAGGGTCTTTAGTCTAATTTTTGAGCAACTTCAAATTCGGTTCAAAAATCTAATTTTGATCGAAATTAATTTAAAGTTACAAAAACATGTACATACTTGCTGAAAGTATACACTAAGTGTCCGTCTTTAGCCAGTCTAGACGCAAGCTCTGTTTGATGATTATTCATTAAGGTTTCATTAATAACAACAATCAGGGCTTTACGTAATGACAGTGACTCAAATATTGTACCAGAACCTAATAATAATAATAATAATAATAATAATAATAATAATAATAATAATAATAATAATAATAATAAATTAATTAATTAATGATGAACAATTTTTTATTCATCGATTTTAATTTAAAAGGTGTTTAAAAGGTGCTTTAATAGTTATTACCTCCATGACTGATGATAAGTGATGCTTCTGTCATATCGCTAGCCAGTGTAGGCTTGAAACGAAACCAGTCAACAATCAGCCCTTCTTCTCTGCCACTCCCACTCTCACTATTCGCAGGCGTATATTCACCATGGCCTATCTGAATATTTAAATGAGTGTATCCTTTTGAAAATAGCAACTAAATATAATTTAAAAAATAAGATTATCATTTTTGGTACTTTTTGAAATCTTTTCTCAGAGACTGCTTTTATCAGATCTTCAAATTTTGTAGTTCCAACAACAACAAGAACAGATTTCTTAGACATCCCTAAAAATTAAATTTTTAACCCTTTGTCATGTCACGGGGTTAAAATTTCATATAGGCGTGGTCACAATAAAATGGCATCTTTCTCGAGATGGCTTAGCTCCAGTAAACGCTTATCAAGATGGAGTGGACGGTTTAAGAGTTTGATGAGTGACTATGCTACAGTATGCAAGGATGTACTAGAATATGCAAAGAAAAAACCACTCCGTTTCACTACTATGGTAACAATTGGTTCTTTTGCTGGAGTCTCATGGAAGAAAAATCCGGACATGAACGGATTTGTAAACGAAGTACTTCAGTATTCTAATGAGATATCATCTTGCAGTGAACTAACAAGGAATCCAACAGCTCAGAGAATCATAGAGGGGCATTTATTAGGAATATGTAATCGATCGTTGGATTACGTCAATCTTGGAGTGTGTTCTCTAATTATACAGCTTCCTAATTATAAGGATTGCAAAAATTATATGGAGACGTGTCCCCAATTAAAGCCCCACTGGTGGACGATGAGAGAAAGGATTGTGGACGTTGGGTTTTGGGATAAATGGTGGGTATTGGAAAAAGACATGATAGACTATGATGTAAATCCAGAATCATTTTAAATTATCATTATTCTACTTTAACTTTAATGCAATGTATGTATAATACCACAAATAAATGACAAATTGTTGTTGCAATAAATTTTTATAAAACAAAATTATCATGCAAGATAGAAAATCATAATGAAGTCTGCTTTGCGCCCCCCGGCCCCGGGCCAATAAATTATATTAAGGGGACTGGCGTTTTCAAATTTTAATCTCCGTGACATATTTGTGTATTATCCGGATATCTAGCTGCCATGTCCAGGTTCTCAGGTTTTAGTTTAGGTAGTCTAGGAAAAAGAAAAGAAGAAAAGCAACCTCTTCCTCCTCCAGCAGCAGCTCCCTCTCGTAAGAAAACATATCAGGATGAAGAAAGGCAAGCAATGTTTGACATTAGTTATTAATAATAATTACAATTATATAATTATAATTATGTATATTTAATTATTTTTAGTTTTTTTAATGAGTCTTCAGATGAAGATGATGACCAAGGACATATGTATGGGGGTCGACCGGCTGTATCCATGGAAATGGCTCGTGATGAAATAGCAAGCTATCGTAGCAGCCAATTAGAGGGAGAGAAAGTGGGAGGGGCAGGAAAGGAGGAAGAAGATGATGATGATCCTTTGGATGCTTTTATGGCTGGAATTGAGGTATGCTGGTCTTTGTATTGGTTTTCATGCCACAATGTATTCTATGCCTGTACACAGACAGAAATAAAGAGGCAGAAAGTTGAGCCAGCGAAGAAAGAAACAAAGTGAGAAATATTAGTACTATCATGATTATTTGTAATATACTAATTGCAATGTATAATTAATAGTACATGTTCTTGTTTCATTACAGAGCAGTGAGGGAAGACATTGAGGAGGAAGATGATCAAGTATAGCTTCATACACAATGTATTTACATGAGTCCTTTACCTTCTCTCTCCCCTCCCTCTCTCTCTCTCTCTCTCTATCTCTCCCTTTCTTTCTCTCTCTCTCTCTCTCTTTTAGGAGAGTTATTTCAAAGCAATGGCTAATGCTCCTATAGTTATATTAGATGATGAAAATGAACAAGACATTGATTATGATAGTGACGGTAACCCTATCATACCCGAATCTGCTAAGGTGTGTTTCCATTTAATGCCCAAATTAATATTCTTTTTAATGCCCACCAGGTCATTGATCCTCTTCCTCCAATCGATCATTCAGAAGTAGGTCTTCATTTTATGATGATTTGACTCTATTTTGATGGTATTTGGTTCTCTTCCTTTAGATTGATTATAAACCTTTTCAGAAGAACTTTTATGAAGAAGATGAAAGCGTCCAGAAACTAACAAAGAAAGAAGTTCAAGAGCTGAGGAAGAAGCTGGGAATAAAAGTAAGACACGAATAGGAGGGGAAAAGATAGATTATTATTATTGTCATTATTTTAGGCGTCTGGTTTTTCCCCTCCAAAACCTTGCGTCTCGTTTGCTCATTTTGGATTCGATCCTCAATTGATGGCATTAATTAGAAAGTCGGAATTCACCACACCCACTCCAATACAGGCTCAGGTACATGTAAATTCTTATTTTTGTCTTCCTAATTTTGTATTTTTCTCTTAGTCAATCCCAGCTAGTTTATCTGGACGTGATGTCATTGGAGTAGCTCAGACTGGATCTGGAAAAACAGTAGCATACCTCTGGCCTTTACTAGTTCACTGCATTGATCAGGTATCACTTTAATATTGTATCTCTTACTCTTCACTCTCTCTCCCTCCCTCCCTTTCTCTCTATTTCTTACTCTGCTTTATTACTTCTCTCTCCCCCCCCCTTCTCTCTCTCTTTTTCTGCTATCTTACCCCCTCGTTTAGCCTGAGATTAAAGAAGGTGATGGCCCAATTGGTCTGATATGTGCACCAACGAGAGAGCTCTGTCAACAGGTATAACTGCACATCCTGACGTACATGTACATACAGACATACAAATGAACGTATAGCCAATACAAAGAACTACAGATATATGATGTATAATAACAATATAATATTAACACGCTGCTTTGCAGGTACATTGTAGGATCTTCATGTAGGAAGCAGAACATGCCTCTAATATTGGGTTGTTTATTAGTTATTCTGATGCATACTGCATTTGCCAGCAGATATCTTAACATAAGAGGAGAAACAGAGGGCAATGGAGGGGCTTGAGCTCCCTCACTTTGCATGTACATGTAGGAGAGCATTAAAACATGGTTTAACTAAACTAAACTATAATTATTAATAACTAAACTATACAATAGCTAAATTATAACTAATAATAGCTTATCGAGTCACTACTTGTTATTATTATTTATGACAGTTCCTTGTGGATTATTATCAAACTTTCCTTTCAATTTTATCAGCAAGATCATCATAATCAGCATCACCAGTGTCGTTGAGCTGAAATTCAGTTGATACCCCATAAAAACTTTTCTTAACTTCATCTTTAACAGATAAATATATCATGTTGTCTGTAATTTGGCCATTGTCAGAAGTCCTACATAAATGATAGACCATCAGCATGCACTCATGTACTCTGCAGTATACCATATACTGGGATATTTTTGAGTTGCTAAATTTTTGTGAATCTTGCATTTGTAAAATTCCATAAAATAAAATTTTGCAAATAACTTGCAAATTTGCATCGCGTGCAATGAATATGCAGAATTCCTCAATTTTAATTTTTGCAATGGAGTAAAAAAGCCCGAAATTTGCGAAAGTTTGGCTACTCAAAAAATCCCAGTATACTGCAGTGTTTGTAAGTACATGTACCGTTACATGACGTGTCACTTCATATAAACATTGGATGATTGGAATAAGATTAAATTAATTTTTTGCTTTGTTTGAGCATAGGCTGTGCAAATACAGTACTCTAGGAACACTGTGTAGCAGAAAGTTTTAGTGGCCTAAAATTTTGTGAATTCATTCAAAACCCGTTTCTAGCTTTACTTTTTTGTAATTTTCTACTTTTCGACCATGTTGAATTGTATTTATTTTCATGGATTTTATTTTCATGCTTTTGAAAAAATGGGGGAAATCTATGAAAATTTTGGGCCGTGAAATCTGCTGCACTAAAATAATATTAATAACTCTTACCAAGTTATAAAAGCAATTTTTTAAATAAATCTTCCTTCTTTGGTTGTAAACTGAAAGTCATACAGAATGTACAGTGGCTGGTCATCCCTCAGTTTGGCCTTCACTTCTTCTTCAAATATTTTCTTGTCCTCCTCCCTCGTTTCAATAGCACGTCTTTCACCAGATTGAGTAAGGACCACTGTATTGCTGGTCCTGTCAATTTCAAAGAAAGCCCATTTCTTGGCGCTATTTAAGTTGATGCTATCAAACATTGCCTTTACATCAGGAGAAACTTTAATCTCTGCCATGATTCTAAACTATAAGCAAATTAATGATATCATTACTGACAATATAGTACTGGTGTTTACTTACATTTGCAGTAGCTTTTCTTACTTGTTCCTCTCTCTCTCTCTCTCTCTCTTTCTCCTTGTACTGACAGTAACACTAGTTTAGCATTGTATATAGCTTGGCTGGGCTATATGTAGGGGTTGGAAAATTATGCTTTTAGGCGCTGCTCCAAATTCCATCCTATTATCCTTTGAAATGAATCCATTTATGCTCATATTTTAAGCTTTACTCAAATATCAGCTATCAAGTTACATGTACATGCATGCATCTGTTATAATTGCAATATTATAATAATGCCAGAGTCTAAAAATGTTTCCAGACTTTTGAGTCACTGCAAAATAGCACAGCCTAAGCCATTGGACTCATCACACTTGTGTAGGTCACCACACATGAGTAGGTGGGTGTTAAGCAGTTGGGTTGTTCTACTAGTACTTGAAATCATGTATTCAGCCAGAAATTTTTACCCATTATGCTCTATTATAATGCTCCAATTATGCTAGCATAATTTGCCTATAGCTACATTTTATTAACAGTTGTCTGCCAACAGCAGAGTTATATTTACTATATGAAATAATAATAATGAAGTAGTAGTCTCTTTGATGTAACCAGAGCTTGGGAGCCATGCATGCATGCTTCATGCATGGACTGCATTGAAGAAGGTATGAAAATGGTTTGATGTGTGCACCTCTGTCTGTCATCTGACATACATTGTAGTACAGCAGGTCACAAGTACGTATTTTGAAAACATGTACACCAAACTAAAATTGAAATTTTGCTGTACTAAAATAGATTTACAAATGTAGTTATAGTTAAGTAATACAACACTGTTGTATATATACATACACTGTAGTCCATGATCACTGTAATCTCACATCATGCTGGATACATACATGTACATGTACTTGTATTGAGGTCCTGATGCTTTGCAAGCCAGTTCCTGTAATCTACATGTAATACTAATTTGTAGCATTTTGATAGATGCAGGAAGATTTTTACCATATAGCGGGTAATTTTCAACTGGTGCTTAATTTCATCTGTTTTGTTGCCATTAATTCTGAATGAAAATTAATTCTGAAGATAGGCGTGACTATAATAAAATTAATAATAACTTGATTACAAGTATAGAATGCCTTTCAAACAGCGTTCACTTTCTAAAGAACCTCTTCCAGAGCCTACAGGACCAGAGGACCTCTTTCTGATCCTATCAGTCCTGCAGATGCTAATGAAAACATCAGATCAACTGTTTTTGTCTAGTCAAAATAAAACCGACGAATTTTTATTCTCAAGTCATTTCTGGTTCCATTCGAAATTTTCAACAATCGAAATTACCCGCTATACGGTATTTTCCTAGTGTTTAATTAAAATTTTGTGCTAAAAGTGTCAATGACTGTGCAGTGTAACCACTGTATAATGGTTCCCATTGTTTGGAACCATCATTAGTAGCTAAAACATCAAAGGAAATTGTGCTATAATGTTTGTTTTTTGTTAGTCATTCTGATACATATTGATTGTATTGTATTTGCCAGTAGACGTTTTAGAACAGAGGGCAGGGGAGGGGCTTGAGCCCCCTCACTTTGTATGTACATGTAGAAGAGCATTAAAGCATGGTTTAACTAAACTATTATTTTTATTATTATTATTATTATTATTATTATTATTATTATTATTATTAATTACTAAACTATACAATAGCTAAATTATAACTAAACTACTAATAGCTTGTTGAGTCACTACTTGTTATTATTATTTATGACAGTTCCTTGTGGATTATTATCAAGCTTTCCTTTCAACTTCATCGGCAAGAGTATCGTAATCAGCATCACCAATATTGTTTAACTTAAATTCATTTGATAGCCCATCAAAACATTTTTTAACTGCATCTTTAGTAGATGAATATGACATCTTGTCTCTAATTGGAGCCCTGTCAGAAACCCTACATAAATGAAAGACCATCAGCATGTACTCATGTACACTACAGTGTACCATATACTGGGATATTTTTTGAGTTACTGAATTTTTTAATCTTTCATTTGTAAAATTTCATGGAATAAAATTTTTGCATCACATAGCAATGAGTATGCAGAATTTTGAATTTTTTTACGATGGAGCAAAAAGTGCAAATTTGAGAAAATTTTGGCTACTCAAAAATTTCCCAGCATACTGCAGTGTATCTAAGTGCATGTACTGTTACATGGTGTATAAAATTGAATGATTGGAACAAGATTAAATTAATTTTTGTTATGTTTCAGCATAAGCTCTGCAAATACTCTCAGTAGCAGAAAATTTTTGTGGCCTAAAAATTTTGCAAATTCATTCAAAAATCCATTCTGTGGCTTTAATTTTTGTAATTTTCTACTTTTTGGCCATGTTGAACCATATTTAATCGATTTTTATGGACTTTATTTTTATGCTTTTGAAAAAAATAGGAAATCCCCAAATTTTGAGCCATGAAATCTGCTGCACTAAAATAGTTGTTAATAACACTTACCAAGTTATAAAAGCAATTTTTTCAATAAGCCTTCCTTCTTTGGTTGTAAACTCAAAGTCATACAGAATGTACAGTGGCTGGTCATCCCTCAGTTTGGCCTTCACTTCTCCTTCAAATATTTTCTTGTCCTCTTCCCTTTTTGTAATATCGCGTCCTTCACCAGATTGAGTAAGGACCACTCTTTTGCTCCTGTCAATTTCAAAGAAAGCCCATTTCTTGGCGTGGTGTTTTTTGATACTCTCATACATTGCCTTTACATCAGGAGAAACTTCAGTCCCATCCATTGACATGATTGTAAACTAGAAGCAAATTAATGATACCATTACTGACAATATAGTACTGGTATTTACTTACATCTGCAGTAGCTTTCTTACTTGTTCCTCTCTCTCTCTTTCTCCTTGTACTGACAGTAACACTAGTTTAGCATTGTATATAGTGTTACGTGACTTGGCTGGGCTGCGTGTGAGTATATAATTAACAGTCATCTGCCAATAGTAGAGCTTTATTTACTATATAAAATATTAATGAAGTAGTAGTCTCTTTGTTGTAACAAGAGCTTGGAGCCATGCATTCGTTCATGTATTGACCGCATTAAAGTTGGTATATGAACTGGTTTAATGCATGCACCAATAAGAGAGCTCTGTTGACAATCATAACACAAAGTATTAGGACTACATGTACACTTACAATTACAATTTTTTACAATCACCCAATTACAATTTTTCTGTATTAAAATAGATTTAGTTATATTAAGTAATGTTGTATGTGCACATACATGTATATACACTGTAGTTATGATCACTGTAATCGCACATCATGGTGGATAATGATAATTATAACAAACACCAGAAATACTAACGATATATACAATGTAAATAAATAGATATAATGCATGTATATGTGAATGCCTGCATGTGTACACATACAAAAACTACCGAAGTAAATTATTAAACTCTCCCATCTGAGAGAGCTTGCTCATGAGAGTGAAAGAGTCGTAAGGATGGTGATAGGGTGATCTGGCACCATGGAGACACATGATAAGTACAGTAGAATAGGACTTGGAGTAATGGATAGAGAGTCTGGATGAAAGATGCTTTTAGAAAATAGAGGCTGATGGACCCATTCCTCTTGCAGTGGTAAAGACTAGTGGTGTAAAAGAAGCATTCCAGATCCTTTCACCATATTGGCTAATGGATACATACATGTACATGTACTTGTATTGATGTCCTGATGTTTTGCATGCCAGTTCCTGTAGTCTACATGTACCATATATCAGGTAATTTTCATAGGAAGAAATTTTCTGACAGAAAAAAATTCATGTAGTTTTATTTTTGCAAAGGGGTTCCTGTCCGAAATTAATAACATACGAAATTATAAAGATCTTATAAAGGATCCCACAGAACACCTCTGAGAAGCTACCATGTTTATTAGACTGTCTAAGCAGCGCCATTTTGTGATGATAGTGCCACATGTCTTGACAATGCACATGGTATCTGCATGCAAAATGTATGCATGAATAAATTAATTTTTATGAATTTTAATTTCACACAAAGCCATGCATTCGAAAATTAAATACAGACGAAAATTACCAGACATACAGTATTACTAATTTGTAGCATTTTGACAGATGCAGGCAGATTTTATTTTTCTAGTGTTTAATTAAAATATTGCACGAAAAGTGTCAATGACTGTGCAGTGTAACCACTGTATAAGTGTCTCCATTATTTGGAAGCATCATTAGTAGCTAAAACATCAAAAGGGAGTTATGCTATAATGTTGGTCATTCTGATACATATTGATTCTCTTACATGTACTGTATTTGCCAGTAGATACCGTATACTATGAAATTTATGCGACAAAAAGATTTTGCGAATTTCGCGATTTTTGCTCCATCGCAAAAATTAAAATTGCAACATTCTGCAGCTCCATTGCCACGTGGCGCAGTTTGCAAGCTATTCACAAAAATTTATTTTGTGAAATCTTAGAAATGCAGGATTTGCAAAAAAAAAATTGTCGCATAAATTTCATGGTATATGGTATAGAGGGCAGCAGAGGGGCTTAAGCCCTCTCACTTTGTATTTACATGTATGTAGTAGAGCATTAAAGCATTTGGTCTAGCTAAACTAAAATTATTATTATTAACTAAACTATACAATAGCTAAATTATAACTGCTAGTAGCTTATTGAGTCACTACTTGTTATTATTATTATTTATGACAGTTCCTTGTGGATTATTTCTTTTCAACTGCAGCAGCAAGAGTATCATAATCGATGTCACCAATATTGCGGAACTGAAACTCACCCGCTATCCCAAAAAAAGCTTTTTTAACTGCATCTTTATTGGATGAATATGGCATCTGGTCTCTCATTGGGGCATTGTCAGGCATCCTACATAAATGATAGACCATCAGCATGTACTCTACAGTATGCCATATACTGGATAATTTCGGATTTGCTAAATTTTTGTGAATCTTGCATTTTAAAAATTTCGCATAATAAAATTTTTGAATTCCATGGCAATGAATAGACAGAATTTTACTACTTTTTGCAACGGAGCAAAAAGTGCAAATTTTGAGAAAATTTGGTTACTCAAAAATTTCCCAGTATACTGCAGTGTATGTAAGTACAGGCACTGTTACATGGTGTGTCATTTCATATAAACATTGGATGATTGAGATAATTTTTGCTCTGTTTGAACATAAGCTGTGCAAATACTCTCGAAGTTGTGTAGCAGAAATTTTTGTGGCCTAAAATTTTTGCAAATTCACTTTAATTTTTGTAATTTTTTACTTTATTTAATCAATTTTTGCAGATTTTATTTTCATGCTTTTTTAAAAAATGGGAAATCCACGAAAATTTTTGGCCTAAACAACTCTTACCAAGTTATAAAAGCAACTTTTTCAATAAGCCTTCCTTCTTTGGTTGTAAACTGAAAGTCATACAGAATGTACAGTGGCTGGTCATCCCTCAGTTTGGCCTTCACTTCTCCTTCAAATATTTTCTTGTCCTCTTCCCTTTTTGTAATATCGCGTCCTTCACCAGATTGAGTAGGGACCACTTTTTTGCTCCTGTCAATTTCAAAGAAAGCCCATTTCTTGGTGCGGTGGTTTTTGATGCTATCAAACATTGCCTTTGCATCAGGAGAAACTTCAATCCCTGCCATTGCCATGATTGTAAACTATAAGCAAATTAATGATATCATTACTGACAATATAGTACTGGTGTTTACTTACATCTGCAGTAGCTTTTCTTACTTGTTCCTCTCTCTCTCTTTCTCCTTGTACTGACAGTAACACTAGTTTAGCATTGTGTATAGTGTTACATGACTTGGCTGGGTTATCTAACTAATACTAAGTCATCTGCCATCAGTAGAGTTTTATTTACTACATGTATATACAATAATAATAGCAGCAGTCTCTTCGATGCAATGAATCAGAGCCTTGCATTCATTCATGTATGGACCGCATTAAAGAAGGTATGAAAATGGTTTGATGTGTGAACCAATAAGAGAGCTCTGTCAACAGGCATAACAAACACATCAGGTCACAAGTATCATGAATACATGTACACTACATGTGTGTACATGTACATATGTGTACTGTTCCCATGTAGAATATATCATGCATTTGACAGATGCATTCACATATTAGAGCTACTGTAAAATATTTACAAGTATATATTTCTTATTTTATTTTAGATTTATCATCAAGCCAGGAAGTTTGGTAAAGCCTACAATCTGTCAGTCGTGTGCGTGTATGGTGGAGGCAGTAGGTATGAGCAGAGCCTGGCAGTTAAGGAAGGATGTGAAATATTGGTAGCCACACCCGTAAGTTTATTATTTAATAATAGTTCAATTAAATATTAACTGGTACATGTGTAAAATTGGATTTCTTTTAAAGTTTTGACCCAGGGGGCAAGGGGGCATGCACATGTACATGTAAGTGCTTGGTGCATAGTAAAGCTACACTGTATAGCATTAGATAGATTCAGGGGGCAAAGTGAAGGGGGAAAATGTTTCCCTCATAGAAATTTGGGCCTTGGATTAAACCATGTATGAAACAGACTTTTTTCAATAGGGACGCCTGATAGATTTAGTAAAATTAAAAGCGACTAACCTCCAGAGGGTTACATTTCTTGTCTTTGATGAAGCCGATCGAATGTTTGACCTTGGGTTTGGTAAGACCCCTCCTCCTCCTAACTCCGCCTAATTTCCCGCCCACTTTAGAGCCACAAGTACGATCAATAGCCAATCATGTTCGACCCGACAGACAGAGTAAGATTGACCCCGCCCCTTTCTTTTATCACGATATTTCTCAGCTTTGCTATTTAGTGCAACTTTTAGAAAGAAGGTCGAGAAACTTTGTCGAGATATTTTAACTGATCCTGTCAGAATCGTGATCGGAGATCTCGGAGAAGCTAACACTGATATAACACAGATTGCATCAGTTTTTAAAGACGCTCAGACAAAATGGGTGTGGCTTGCTCAGCACCTGGTAGAGTTCCTTTCAGGTAATATGATGATAAAAATGAGTGCATGTTTTTATAATATCCAGTTTACCCATTACATGTGTACTGCTCGCATGTACATGATGTAACTGTACATTGTACATGTAGAGCTTGTGCTAAGTCCACCTTATAAAACCTCAAGAATAAGCTTACACTGATTAAGCTTAAGCCTATAACTGTAGCAGTATTTGTTATGCATATTGCAGACTTTTACACTCAATTTTTGCTAAAGTACATGTACATATGTATATGCATTTTCCATTAATAATCAGTTCTATATTACATGTGTTACAGTTGCTATGTGATTTTCATGTCATATGTAGCTGGCAGTGTTCTAGTGTTCTGTACTAAGAAGACCGGAAGTGAGGAATTAGCACATAATTTGAGACAAAGTGGCTACCAAGGTGATCAAATTTTGTTAAATATTTGTCATGACTTTGTTCCACCTCCTCTCTCTCTCTCTCTCCCACAGCTGGTCTTCTTCATGGCGATATGTGTCAAGGCGACCGAGATGAAGTCATCACGAGTTTCAAGAAACAAGCTTTTCCAATTTTAGTTGCAACTGACGTAGCAGGTTAGATCAAATTTCAGTGCATTTCAAAAATTAAAATTTTATAAATACTATATGACCACACCCATATTTATATTCTGACCACACCCATATTTACATTTTGACCACACCCACAGCCAGAGGTTTGGATATAGCATCAATAAGAACAGTGGTTAATTACGATATGGCACGAGACATTGATACTCATGTTCATCGAATTGGACGAACAGGAAGAGCAGGTACCAAAGGGACTGCTTATACACTAGTGCTGCCTAAAGACGTCAATTTGGCCGGAGATCTAGTTAGGAACTTAGTAAGTGTAGACATTTATTGTTGTTCTTTATTGTAATAGTTTGTTTTAATTTATTTGCACGTACATGTACATGTAGTACAATGTATGATGTATGTGGCATACAAGCTTTTACTATTATAAGTCAAGATATCTCAATAGCATTTGATAAGTTTATACATTAGGTATAACTATATGTGTAGACATAACGCATATACATGTACATGTAATTGGATGAAAGTACATGTACATCTAGTCCCTTATGAAGTAAAACAGGTCTACAGGTAATACTAATTTATTTTCATTTATTTAGGAAACTGCTGATCAGGTTGTACCAGAAGAATTGCTTAGTCTAGCAATGCAGGTACACACATTGTTATTATTGATCATACACTTACTTGTATTTTTGTGTCTTGTCTTCTCTATTAGAATGCAAGGTTTAGAAAGTCAAGATCAAGACATGGAAAAGGAAAGGGAGGAGGAGGAGGAGGGGGAGGAGGAGGAGGGGGAGGAGGAGGAGGAGGAGGAGGAGGAGGAGGGAATAGACGATTGAGACTAGGACTGGGTGCAACTAATACAGTAAGAGATTAAATAACAAGAAGAGAATTCTCTATTGTTATGACATTTTCTGATGCATATACCAGTACTTGTGTTGTGTGGAAAGTTTGAACTGATTCTGTTCAAAATTGGATTTTTTATAAGTTGCTCCATAATCGGGCTAAAGTCCCTGTACTATAGTACATGGTCTCGAGCCAAAATTCATCAAAATTGACTAGGAGAGAATTCTCAATTTTTATAATTTTTTCTGATGCATATACATGTACTTATGTTGTGTAGAAAGTTTGAACTGATTCTAATCAAAATTGAATTTTTTATGAATTTTTAAGTTGATTCATAAGGAGAATATTCTCCATTGTTAATTTAACTAAGATTAACCACATTTCAATTGATCATAGACTGGAAATACTGCAACATTGGGATCATTATCAAGTGGGAGTGGTCCCAGTGCTAATAGAGCAGCTGCTGTCAAAGAAGCCATGCAAGTAAGAGTAAAAACAATACCAAATGACATGTTCATATATTTTTTCTATTTTTCTTCTCCTTTAGTTTAGTTACAAGTCAAGATTTCAAGCTGCTACTAGTACATCATTTGCTAGTACGTCGTCTCTTCAATCGACCACACCCACCCCTACCCCTCCCACTTCTGATGAAACAAAACCTCGTAAGAGAAAGAGTAGATGGGACTGATATTTCTAATAAATAAACTTACATCTCTTGAGTCTATACTATTATTTTAAAATGTTTTTTTTCATTCAATTTTGGCTGGAGATCATTTAGACTACTGTATAAGTACAGTTGTTCTTTGCAACAAACAATGAAATTGAAATGAATGTAACAGGCATATTAGCATGCAGTTTATGTTTTACAGTTTATTGTGTACTAATATGGATATTAAATACACTAACTACTGTAAATGGAATTCACTTTATCTTTTAGTACACTACTTCTGTTTTATAATAGTCAGCAACAAGCACACAAGAATTGTCAAATTGATGTTTGAGAAGCAGTTTCAGCTGCTAGTCTGACAGTGATACATAGTAATCTGAAGTAGCTCGGTGTCTCTCGTATTCATCTTCTTGTTCCATGTATCTCTGATAATGATCATCAACTATCTGAACAATATTAACTTCATTCTCTCTCACACGATACTTGTAACGTCTAGCCAGTATCACAAACACTATCAGTATAAGCAACTGAAGGAAGCACACTATTATGTAATAGTACCATGCTTTAACGAAATGTGACAGCATAAAAGCAGTTAAAATTCCAATTCCCATGAAAGTGGAACACACTCCAACCATCATTCCTCTCATGTATTCTGGGGACTGTGCTACTGTAAACTCAAATGAAGTAGGAAGAATAAGAAAACATGATGTTCCAGTTAGTACCTGTTTAATTATTATCAATGTAGTGTAATATGAAGGGAACATTTCTATCAATATTATAATGATGCAAGCAAACAAGGAGAATACTAGTCCAGCACCCATTCTAGTAAACATACTGGGTATATACTTGTGGAAGCAACCACGAATGATGAACTGATAAATGAAGAATAAGAGTAGAAGAGTCGTGTGATATGTACCGTGTCTATCAATAAAGGTTTTACTGTATTCTGATGGTTTAATATCAATGGAATTGCCTTCTAAAGTATTTACATGCAGATAAATTATGGACATTGATCCAAGTATTGCAATGAATATGGGTAGCATACGAAAGAATGTCTTCACATCTTCTACCTCTTCCTCTGTGAATGGTCCACCATATTTATCCTTACCCAGGTCTAGTCTTGAAGGAGCTTCTTCCTCCCAGTAGGTCAGAGCACTACGATTCTCAGGATACTTGTGCTTCCTGGCATAACACAATACTCTAACTATCAGTTTGATGGGATTCTTGATCAGTGATATATTCTCCAGTTTGTGTTTAAATAATGAATGAGATACCAGTATAATTGATAGTGCTACTCCTGATGTTATAATGATAGCAATGAGCTTTGTGGATCTAGTATATATATCAAGTAGATCAATTAAATTTTTTAATATCCAAGCAGTTGGATAGGCAGCAATACTCCAGTATATGATAGTACTCAATTCATTGGTTGATGCTCCAATTAACTGATCAGTATTATATTGAATGATATTAGCAACAAAAGTAATGATACCAATGTTGCTTATTAAAAAACTAGGAACAGTCCAAGTATTCTCCATAAATCCATAGCAATTGTTTAATATAAATGAAATTCCAAAGATAATCCATGATATGAAACTGAGTATAATACTAATTACTATTGCTCTATATCTTCCTATATATACATCAGTTAATAGTCCAATGAAAGGAAACAAGATATAGCAACAGTAAACAATGGTTTCAAGGTTTCCCTTGATGGCACTGGTAGTCCCAATCAAATAATTCTGACCTGCCATCAAGTAATTCCACAGCAGCACCATAATAGCAGGAAAAGATGTTATAGGAACTAAATACATTCTAGCCTTTGATAAAGCCATGGTTTTTATTTTAAAAGTGACTGCAACTTTTTATCACTGATGCATGTTGTCTAGACTGAAAGTGTCTCAATATTACGGTTTACTTTTAGCCCCAGATCAATTTATTTTATTTGCTTGAATAAACAATGAAACTGAATAACCTGCATTTTATGCGTAGTTATTGAAATACATCAAAAGTATAAATTAAATTTTAATGCACAAAAAGTGCACTATATACGATACTAAGTGCTTCTACACTTTTATAGAATCTACTGTCAACACCAATGCACATGGAAATTAAAAGTTGGCAATCTATATAATGGTTTTAGAAACAGCTTGTTAGTTATTCAACTGTTGCACAGGCACTAAATTATTCTAAACTAAAGGGTTGCAGTTTATAAGTATCTCAATGCAGTTTATTTTATTTGCTGCTTCAAATAAATAATGAAACTGATCATAACCTGCATTTCATGCTTTCTTGTTGACTGTATTAACTTTTAAAGCAAAACAATCACATCATGTAATACATGTCTACAACACTGAAACACACAAGAATTAAGAATTATGCATCAATTTTGATTATAAGAGTTTCAACTACTGGTTATACAATAGTTGCACATAATAAGTCTTACAAACTATGAAGAAGACTGTCACAAACCTCAAAGATCCAAGATCAATTTAAACTGAATCGTCATCAAGTAATTCCAGAGCAGCACCATAATAGCAGGAAAAGAAGCAACAGGAGCAACACACACTCTAGCCCTTGAAAGAGCCATTGTTTTACTGTACCATAAGCATAACAAAAGTGAAGCTATTTATAAACTATAAGTTAATTTGTTTGTCAAACAAAACAATGAAAATGAAAGAAAACGACCATAATTATTAGCTAATATTTTATAAACTTCATTGTTATTATTATTAGAGTTTTCATAGCAATACATACTTATCCTTGAAATTTAAAAACCAATTAATGTATGACTTAAAATGCCTCATGCAGCTATGAAGCCATTACAATAACAAAGTATGTATCATACACCTAGTAACTTAGGTCTCTCAATTAATCTTAAATAATTCTGTTTCAAGAATCTTTTAAAGTTTGTTTACATCCATCTTCTTAGTATATGCATCTCTGGTAATTGCAGTATAAAATTGGATTTGAGAGCAATACTAAAAAGGCAAGAGAAGTTGATAAAATTTATAAAATCAACAAAACAACTAAAAAGAAAAATCCTTTTTCTCTCTCTCTCTATGCCTCTCTCACTCAGTTAAAAATTTGAGTCTGTGCTTATCTTAATTAATTTACATGTAAGTCGGTAAACGACAGACAATCATCTTCATCATTACCAGCACTCTAGCTGGTTTGGGGCAATGGTTTGGTGGAGGCAGACAATCTATTGCATCTCAAGCTCAGCAAGTAAAGCAGCTTCTCACAGATATTCTTAGGCAAGAAGTATATGTAGAATTAGAAGACTAATGAAGTTGAAAGGAATATAACATAACATACATATATACAACATATGCTTTAAAAACATGATTATTTTTTTAGGTATTAAATACACCAAATGTGTGGAATTCACTACAACTTCTAGTGCAAAAAAACTAATTCCGGTTCTAATAGTCAACAACAAGCCACACACAAGAATTACCTACATGTATGCTGGTGAAATTGGTAGTTTTAAAAAGTAGTTTTAGCTGCTAGTCTGACAGTGATACATTAATTATAATCTTCTGGAGTCACTTGGTGTCTCTCATATTCATCTTCTTGTTCCATGTATCTCTGATAATGATCATCAACTATCTGAACAATATTAACTTCATTCTCTCTCACACGATACTTGTAACGTCTAGCCAGTATCACAAATATTATCAGTATAAGCAACTGGAGGACACACACTATTATGTAATAGTACCATGTTGTGATTAAAATTAAAAATATTCTCGAAAATATGGAGCCAAGTCCCAATGAGGTGTAGCAGAATCCAACCATCATTCCTCTCATGTGTTCTGGAGACTGTGCTACTGTAAACTCAAATGCTGTCGGAAGAATAAGAAAATATGAAATTGCAAGAAGCACTTGTTGAATTATTTGTAGAGAATCATATGGAAGATACACTTGTGCCAATAATTGAGTTATACTACCAAATAGTAATACAGTAAGACCAGCACCTATTCTAGTAAGCATACTGGGTATATACTTGTGGAAGCAACCACGAATGATGAACTGATAAATGAAGAATAGGAGTACAACACTGATATTATATGTACCATAATCTTCAAACACCTTGCAATACACTGAGGATTTGACACATTTACCATGAGGAATCCAATAAAAAGTGGTAAAAGCAAAGGTAGCAATATATAATGGTAGCATACGAAAGAATGTCTTCACATCTTCTACCTCTTCCTCTGCAAATGGCCCACCATATTTATCTTTACCCAGGTCTAGTCTTGAAGGAGCTTCTTCCTCCCAGTAGGTCAGAGCACTACGATTCTCAGGATACTTGTGCTTCCTGGCATAACACAATACTCTAACTATCAGTTTGATGGGATTCTTGATCAGTGATATATTCTCCAGTTTGTGTTTAAATAATGAATGAGATACCAATATAAGAGACAGTGCTACTCCTGATGCTATAAAAATAGCACTGAGCTTTGAATTTACAGAATCAAACAATAACAAAAAGTTAAGTAAAACCCATGAAGTTGAATAAGCAGCCATATTCCAGTATATGATAGTACTCAGTTCATTAGTTGATCCTCCAATTAACTGATCAATATTGTACTGAATGATATTAGCAATAAATAATGTCATAGTAATACTATTTACTATAGAGCCAGGCACAATCCACATCTTCCCCATGAATCCATAGTAGCTGTTTAATATAAGAGAAATTCCAATTATGACCCATGATATGAAACTGAGTATAATAGCAATCATTATTGCTCTGTATCTTCCTATGCATACATCACTTAATAGTCCAATAAAAGGACACAAAATATAAAAAATAAAAGGAACAAGTCTTTCAAAACTGGGAAGACTGTCAAGAACTTCAAAGATCCTTGCATACAAGATCAATTTAAACTGAATCATCATCAAGTAATTCCAGAGCAGCACCATAATAGCAGGAAAAGATGTTACAGGAGCAACACACACTCTAGCCCTTGAAAGAGCCATTGTTTTACTGTACCATAAGCATAACAAAAATGAGGCTATTTATAAACTATGAGACTCAATGAGTATATTAATTATAGTTTGTCAAATAAAACAATGAAAATGAAAGAAAACAATAGACTAATAATCATATATTATTAAGTATTGTTTTATAAACTTTACTGTTATTATTATTTGAGTTTTCATAACAATACATACTTATTTATGAAACTTAAAAACCAATTAACGGATGACTGAAAATACCTCATGTAGTTATGCCTTTTGTACTTAAGTTAAAAATTTGAATCTGTGCTTGTCTTAATTTTGCATGTAAGTTAGCAAATGATGGATGATCATCTCATCATATTGTCAGCACTCTTGCATTATGTGAAAAACTGGTTCAGGCCAATGGTTTGGTGGAGGCAACCGATCCAACACATCTCAAGTTCAGTAAGTAAAGCAGCTTCTCACAGATATTTTTTATGCAAGAAGTATATGTAGAACAAGAAGTATATGTAGAACAAGAAGACTAAAAGTTACTTCAATTGTCTAAAGTAATTGTACAATTATCCTATCATTGGATAGATCATATGTACAGTCTTCACTAGCTTAGACTTGCCCCTTAATTTTTTACATTCTTCGACTTAGTTTTCTGATACATTTTGATTCTCTACATGTACTGTATTTGCCAGTAGATATTTCAGCATAAGAGGAGAAACAGGGAGGCAGGAAATGGGCTTGAGCCATCTCACTGTTGGCAATGTTAATTTAAGCTTTAGTATAATTAATTTCCTAATGTTTTATTCCATTAATATTATAATCATGATTATTATGTTATAATTCTCTGACTATTATTTATGATCCTATTTTCATTTTTATGTAATGTATTACTGATTATAATTCCTTTCTAGTGTTGTGTAATGTTGATTAAGCTAAACTATGATTATTATTAATAAACTACTTGTACATGTACATAACTAATAATGGCTTATTGAGTCACTACTTGTTATTATTATTATTTATGACAGTTCCTTGTGGATTTTTATCAAGCTTTCCTTTCAACTTCATCAGCAAGAGTATCATAATCAACTTCACCAATATCGGTGAACTGATATTCAATCGATATCCCAGTAAAACATTTTCTAACTGCATCTTTAGCAGATGAAAATGACATCTGGTCTTTAATTCTGGCAGTTTTAGAAACCCTACATAATGATAGACCATCAGCATGTACTGACGTACTCTATACAGTATAGATACCATATACTGGGATATTTTTGAGTTGCTAAATTTTTGTGAATCTTGCAAAATTTTATAAAATGATTTTTTTTGCAAATAGCTTGCAAACTGTATCACATGGCAATGAATATGAAGAATTTTTTTGCAATTTTTATTTTTGCAACAATGCAAAAAAGCACAAAATTTACAAAAATTTGGCTACTCAAAAATTTCCCAGTATACTGCAGTGTATGTAAGTACAGGCACTGTTAGATGGTGTGTCATTTCATATAAACATTGGATGATTGAAATAATTTTTGCTCTGTTTGAACATAAGCTGTGCAAATACTCTTAAAGTACTGTGTAGCAAAAAAATTTTGTGGCCTAAAAATTGCTGGTATAATTATGTACTTGAGTTATGGTTTCTATTATCGTAATGCTCATTATTATGTAACATCGTGTAATTAAGAGTATTCTAGACTATGAAGTTCTATGTATATGCATCATGTTTTCTATTAATTTTTTGTACAGTGTTCAATAGTTCTTTTCAGTTCTTAGTAAAATAATCTAACAAACATTTTGTGAATTCATTCAAAATCTATTTTTTGCTTTTTGTAATGTGGAACTCTACTTTTTTGATTATTGTTTTATTTTCATGCTTTTGTTGAAAAAATTGGAAATCCACGAAAATAATATTAACAACACTTACCAAGGAATAAAAGCAACTTTTTGAATAAACCTTCCTGCTTTGTTTGTAAATTGAAAGTCATACAGAATGTACAGTGGCTGGTCATCCCTCAGTTTGGCCTTCACTTCTTCTTCAAATATTTTCTTGTCCTCTTCCCTCGTTTTAGTATCACGTCTTTCACCAGATTGAGTAAGGACCACTCTTTTGCTCCTGTCAATTTCAAAGAAAGCCCATTTTTTGGCGTGGTGGTTTTTGATGCTATCAAACGTTGCCTTTACATCAGGAGAAACTTCAGTCCCTCCCATTGACATGATTGTAAACTAGAAGCAAATTAATGATACCATTACTGACAATATAGTACTGGTATTTACTTACATCTGCAGTAGCTTTTCTTACTTGTTCCTCTCTCTTTCTTCTCTTTGTACTGACAATACTAACACTAGTTTAGCATTGAATATAGTGTTACGTGACTTGGCTGGGCTATCTAATTAACACTAAGTCGTCTGCCAGTATTAAATTTTCATATAAAATAATAATAGTATCTAGTCTCTTTGATGTAACGAGAGCTCAAAGCCATGCATGCATGCATTGATTCATGTATGGACAGCATTAAAGAAGGTATGAAAATGGCTTGATTGCACTAATAAGAGAGCTCTGTCAACAATCATAGCACATCAGGTCACAAGTATCATGAATACATGTATGGTACATGCGTGTACGTATGTGCACTATTCACATGTAGAATATATCATGCATTTTGAGGGATGCATGCACATATGATGTCATATACATTCAACTTCTTGTTCCATGTATCTCTGATAATGATCATCAACTATCTGAACAATATTAACTTCATTCTCTCTTACATGATACTTGTAGCGTCTAGCCAGTATAACAAACGCTATCAGTATGAGGGATAAGTGAAAACACATTACTATGAAGTAATGTATCCAAGTCCTACAAAATCCAACCATCATTCCTCTCCTGTATTCTGGAGGCTGTGCTACTGTAAACTCAAATGAAGTAGGAAGAATAAGAGAATATGAGAGTTCAAAAATATTTGTTGAATTACTAGTAGAGAGTCATATGAGAGATAAATATGTATTAATACTTGAGTTATGCAACCAAGTAAAGCAAAAACAATACCAGCACCCATTCTAGTAAGCATACTGGGTATATACTTGTGGAAGCAACCACGAATGATGAACTGATAAATGAAGAATAGGAGTACAACACTGATATTATATGTACCATAATCTTCAAACACCATACAATGTACTTGTGATTTATTGACACAATTACCATGAGGAATCCAATAAAAAGTGGTAAAAGCAAAGATAGCAATATATAATGGTAGCATACGAAAGAATGTTTTCACATCTTCTACCTCTTCCTCTGTGAATGGTCCACCATATTTATCCTTACCCAGGTCTAGTCTTGAAGGAGCCTCTTCCTCCCAGTAGGTCAGAGCACTACGATTCTCAGGATACTTGTGCTTCCTGGCATAACACAATACTCTAACTATCAGTTTGATGGGATTCTTGATTAGTGATATATTCTCCAGTTTGTGTTTAAATAATGAATGAGACACCAGTATAAGAGACAGTGCTACTCCTGATGCTATTAAATAGCAATGAGCTTTGAATTAACAGAATCAAACAATAACAAAAAGTTAAGTAAAACCCATGTAGTTGAATAAGCAGCCATATTCCAGTATGTTACAGTACTCAGTTCATGAGCTGATCCTCCAATCAATTGATCAATATTGTACTAAATAATATTAGCATCAAAAATTGTCATAGTAATACTATTTACTATAGAGCCAGGTACAATCCACATCTTCCCCATGAACCCATAACAATTGTTTAATATAAGAGAAACTCCAATTATGATCCATGATATAAAAGTCAGTATAATAGCAATCATTATTGCTCTATATCTTCCTATGCATACATCACTTAATAGTCCAATGAAAGGAAACAAAATGTAAAAAAGAAAAGGAATAAGTCTTGCAAAACTGGGAAGACTGTCAAGAACTTCAAAGATCCTTGCATACAAGATCAATTTAAACTGAATCGTCATCAAGTAATTCCAGAGCAGCACCATAATAGCAGGAAAAGACATTACAGGAGCTACACACACTCTAGCCCTTGAAAGAGCCATTGTTTTACTGTACCATAAGCATAACAAAAAGTGAAGCTATTTATAAACTATAAGAGTATCCTAGTTTGTCAGATAAAACAATGAAAAATGAAAGAAAACAATCATATATTATTAAATATTGTTTATAAACTTTATTGTTATCATTATTAGAGTTTTCATAGCAATACACACCTTTTCTTAAAACTTAAAAACCAATTAAGGCATTTATGACTTAAAATGTCTCATGCAGCTATGAAGATATTACAATAACAAAGCATGTTCTATAACTTACTATCTAGGTCTGTCAATTAATCTTCAAATATTATTTCTGTTTCAAGAGCTTCTTGGTGTCTCTTATATTCATCTTCTTGTTCCATGTATCTCTGATAATGATTATCAACTATCTGAACAATATTAACTTCATTCTCTCTCACACGATACTTGTAAAGTCTAGCCAGTATCACAAATACTATCAGTATGAGGGATAAAAGAAAACACATTATTATGAAGTAATGCAAATTTTCTGATAATATAAAAGAAAAAGCATATCCAAGTCCTACTGAAGTATAGCAGAATCCAACCATCATTCCTCTCATGTATTCTGGAGACTGTGCTACTGTAAGCTCAAATGAAGTAGGAAGAATAAGAAAATACGAGAGTCCGAAAAGTATTTGTTGAATTACTAGTAAAGAGTCATATGAGGGATAAATACGTATTAATACTTGAGTTATGCAACCAAGTAAAGCAAAAACAATACCAGCACCCATTCTAGTAAGCATACTGGGTATATACTTGTGGAAGCAACCACGAATGATGAACTGATAAATAAAGAATAGGAGTAGAAAAGTAATGTAATATGTACCATAATATCCAAACATTATACAGTGTACTGTAGAATTATTCATGATACAATTGCGAGATCGCCATGAATATACAACGCAGGTGAACCCAAAGATAGCAATATATAATGGTAGCATACGAAAGAATGTTTTCACATCTTCTACCTCTTCCTCTGTGAATGGTCCACCATATTTATCCTTACCCAGGTCTAGTCTTGAAGGAGCCTCTTCCTCCCAGTAGGTCAGAGCACTACGATTCTCAGGATACTTGTGCTTCCTGGCATAACACAATACTCTAATTATCAGTTTGATGGGATTCTTCATCAATGATATATTCTCCAGTTTGTGTTTAAATAATGAATGAGATACCAGTATAAGAGACAGTGCTACTCCTGATGCTATAATACTAATTAAATTTACAGTAACAGTCTTGAATAGTAATAAGAATCCTCCTAGTATTTCTGCAACTGGATAAGCAGCAATATTCCAGTATATTATAGTACTCAATTCATGAGCTGATCCTCCAATCAACTGATCGATATTGTACTGGATAATATTAGGAAAGACAGTAACGACTCCAATATAATTAACTATAGCACCAGGAGCAATCCACATCTTCCCCATGAACCCATAACAATTGTTCAAGATAAAGAAAATTCCAATTATAATCCATGATATGAAACTGAGTATAATACCAATCATTATTGCTCTGTATCTTCCTATGTATACATCAGTCAGTAGCCCAATGAAAGGAAACAAGATATAACAACAAAGAAGAATGACTCTGAGGATGACAGTCATTGTGATAGCACTTGCAGACTCTATTAAATGATACTGAATGAACATCAAGTAATTCCAGAGCAGCACCATAATAGCAGGAAAAGATGTTATAGGAGCTACACACACTCTAGCCCTTGAAAGAGCCATTGTTGCCTCCTAGAGATAAACGACAGTTTTCATACTGTTATCAGTTACAACTAGATTGCTTTATATGGAATACAATGTTATCATGTAGCAGACTACTAGTCTAAGTATGAATGTGTAACATAAAATTGCATTTATTATTTTTGAGAGCAACACTAAAAAGGCAAGAGAAGTTGATAAAAAAATCAAAAAATCAACAAAACAACTACAAAAAAGGAATTGTATAATAAAAATGAAGGAGCCACCACACTAAAATTTATTATCAAAAACTATAAAATAATTATTATTCTGCATGCATCAAGTCTCTATGCAACAAAAGCAGCACAAAACGCGTGTATAAAATAATCAAAATAATAATAAGAAATAAATTCCTTTTCCTCTCTCTATGCATGTCTCTCTCTTTATCTCTCTTAGTTAAAAATTTGAGTCTGTGCTTGTCTTAATTTTGCATGTATCTCGGCAAACGATGGACGATCATCTTCATCATATTGCCAGCACTCTTGCATTATGTGGTAAACTGGTTCGGGGCAATGGTTCGGTGGAGGCAAACGATAGCCAGCTTCAACCTGTGGACATAATGTTAATGATTGTAATAGTGGGTATGCATGTATGAAGTTTGTGATTCTCTCTCTTTTTACCCTATCATGTTTTCACTATCACTATACATGTAGTTTCTCCATCTTTTAAACTTTTCTTTCCTCCCAACTTTTTCTCTCTTCCTCCCTCTCTCTCTCTCTCCCTCCCTCCCTCACCCTCACCCTCTCTCTCTCTCTCTCTCTCTCTCTCGCTGTTTACTTGTTCTCTTGCTTCATTATTACTCATTCCTGGATAAGGTGTAGACCCAAGGGAATATGTCTCCCACAATAATATGCCAAAGCTCCACACATCACTAGCATTAGTGTACCTACCGAGATTAAGAGCCTACAGGAGGAACAGGGCAACTTTAAAAATTCATATAAAATTCAATTTTGATCGGAATCAGTTCAAACTTTCTACACAACACAAGTACATGTATATGCATCAGATAAAAATATAAAAATGGAGAGTTCTCTCCCTGTCAATTTTGATGAAATTTTGCCAACGACACTGTACTATAGTACAGGGACTTTAGTCCGATTTTGGAGCAACTTAAAAAATTCATATAAAATCCAATCTTGATTGGAATTAGTTCAAACTTTCTACACAACATAAGAACATGTATATGCATCAGATAAAAATATAAAAGTGGAAAATTCTCTCCTTGTCAATTTTAATGAAATTTGGCCAATGATCCTGTACTATAGTACAGGGACTTTGGCCCGATTTTGGAGTAATTTCAAAAATTCGTAAATCATCCAATTTTGATTGGAATCAGTTCAAACTTTCTATGCAACATAAGAACATGTATATGCATCAGATAAAAATATAAAAATGGAGAATTCTCTCCTTGTCAATTTTGATGATATTTGGCCAACGATCCTATACTACAGTACAGGGTCAAAAACCAAATTTAGGACAAAGCTAATAATCTAAATTTTGACTGGATTCTGTGCAAATTGATCTTCTCACCTCAGGTGCAGTCCATTTTATTGGTATTTGTCTTGAACCAGATGAGACCTGATAGATACCGCACTCTTCCTCTCGACTCATTCCAAAATCAGATATCTTAACTATGTCACTCTCTCCAACAAGACAATTCCTGGCAGCCAGATCTCTATGAATACACTTCATCGACTCAAGATACTCCATCCCAGCACTGGCGTCGGTCACCATCATAGCGAGCTTCTTCTTTGTTTGATGGTTACCTTTCTTCCTTAGGAAATCAAGGAAGGAGCCTCCAGGAAGAAGCTCCATTATAATATACACTGGATCCTTCTCAGCACAGACGCCAATCAGCCGGACTATATTAGGATGATCGTATTGCTTCAAAATGTCCGCCTCTTGTAAGAACTTTCGCTTCTCTGCCGCAGGGATTGTGTCACGGCAAGTCTTAACTGCTACCTTCTCTCCGGTGGACATAGTTGCCTCGCAAACCTCACCAAAAGCGCCACGCCCAAGTTTCCGGCCCATTTGAAGCTCGTTCCTCTTGATAGACCACTTATCAATACGGGATATGAATTTTCCTAATATAGCGCCAGAGTTGCGTGTGACTGGTATTTGTGTTTGGACGTGATAGTCCAACAGGTCACGGACTACACCAAAAGCCTTGTCTTCAAATCTGTACAACGGGATTCCTGGATTTTGAGGCTAAGAGGAAGAAAAAGAAAGAAAGTAAACGATGCATAAATTCTGTTTGTTATAGTATATTTATAAAAACCCATGACTGTACAACCACAAATTAACCATGCATTCAATCTATTGTACACATGTAGAAGGCAGTACATGTACATCTAGTATTAACACTATAAACACAGTACTTACATCTGGTATTTCTTGTATAACAAAATGGCGTCCTTGTCCATTCCAATTAACAGTGAGTACATATTTGTTTTGTCTGTCGCTGTATCTCACTAGGTACTCACCAGCTTGACCACACTTCTTCTCAGCATCTCTCCTGTCCATCACACCATAGTACCAAGGCTCGTCTTCTATTGCTACTTCAGGAGGCTGGAGAGAGAGGGGGGAGAGAGAGAGAGACAGAATAATCTCTTTCTCTAAAATCATTATAACGGGCAAAGATGACAATGACAGATATCTACAGCTGCTACAAAAATCATCTCCCTCCAAATCCAGTACAACAACCACAAATACAATTAATTTTAATTGACATGTACTGATTCTGAGGCCTAAAAGGTCGAATCACTCTCGCTTCCCTCTCTTACATGTACATGTGTATGTGTATACATGTACATGCATGTAGTCATGCAATCTGTATATACATGTACATGTATTAGTCGTCTCTCACCTCCTGATACTCGTCCTCCTCATCTTCCATAGCTGCTCCATGTCCTCCGGTACTGAAGCTCCCACTAGTCGTAGACTCATCTCTGTCCTGGTCTTCGCTGATTGACTCGTGACGATCTGAACCCTTAGACTTTCCTTTTCCTTTGAAGAGACGCTTAATAGTTTCAGAAGCCTAAGAAAAAGAGAGAGAGAGAGGGGGGAGAAAGTATAAAAATAAGCAGTTTGAAAAGTACATGTAATGTATACATGTAAATAAGCTCATAAATGCATACATGTACATGTACATGTACTGTAGAGCAGTATCTAAAGGTACACATGTACATGTAAGTAGAGATAAATCATTGCATACTGGATAATAAAAATTTAAGTGTACATGTACATAAAAATACAAGTACAAGTACAGTACTACTGTATACTGGGATATTTTCACGTTGCTAGATTTTCGCGAATCTTGTATTTGTAAGATTTCACAAAATAAAATCTTCGCAAATAGCTTACAAACTCCACCACATGGCAATGAAAATGGAGGAATTCACGATTTTTAATTTTCACGACAGAGCAAAAAACTGCAAAATCTGCGAAAATTTGACTACTTGAAAATTTCCCAGTATACAGTACATAAATACTTACTTTTCCTTTCTTGGGTTTAGAGGTAGAATAAGGATCATCAGCAGCTACACTAGTAGACAATTCATCAGCTCCTTCACCCAATGGATCAAACAATGGAGGAGGATCGGTCCGCTCTGGTACCATAGCCTGTTGAATCAACTGGAGCTGTTTCTATGAGGGGAGAGAGAGAGAGAGAGAGAGAGAGAGAGAGAGAGAGAGAGAGAGAGAGAGAGAGAGAGAGAGAGAGAGAGAGAGAGAGAGAGAGAGATTATTAGATAATATGACAATTAGTTTAAGAGAAGGACACTACGCCCAACTCTTGTCGATAGTCAGACGTCGGAGTGTTGGCCACAGTCGGTTGATGCTCCTAGTCTGCCTACCCGCCTAGACTTCTTTCCTGGCTATCTACCCAGCACCTCGCCCTCGACCCTCTTTTCACGACTCAGAGACACCAATTGTCGTCATACCATGTGACAATATAAACAAACTTTTACAATTACTGTGTTAGCATGAAGCCGTGGTGAACAGCAGGCTAGGCAGTCTGGTCTTGAGAACCAGAACTGGGGGTTAAAACGTTTTTAATGGCCAAACTCTCACCTCTCTGCCTGCCTTAAAAAGCTGTTGTTACCAATATGGCTTGTACAGTTACATGTGTGCTGACACTAGATATACAGGGCCTATGCTTATTATCTAACACAACTGGGCTTACCACTACATACTGGAAGGTATTGGTTTCTTTTCTCCTGGCACTATAAACTTGACATGTGCTTGACCATGTGCTTTAGGTGATTATTATTTATTAGGTGATATTATTAATTAAGGCTGGGTTTTGGTTTGGCACTTAATGAATTATTTATGCATTGACATGTACATGTAAAACATATGCTCAGAGGGGGAGAGAGAGAGAGAGAGAGAGAGACAGAGAGAGAGAGAGAGACAGAGACAGAGAGAGAGACAGAGACAGAGACAGAGACAGAGAGACAGAGAGAGACAGAGAGACAGAGAGACAGAGAGACAGAGAGACAGAGAGACAGAGAGACAGAGAGAAGAGAGACAGAGACAGAGAGAGAGACAGAGAGAGAGACAGAGAGAGACAGAGACAGAGAGAGGGAAAAAGATAATTAAAGTTATAGACTACCCACATGTACAGTATAATTGTGCATATACAGTAAAAGTGGGGAATGAAGAATATACAAATTATGCAAGAGAAAGGGAACTAACAGTCAGGAAATAGAAGTTTATATTTAAACAACAAACACAAACACACATAAAAACACACTGAGAGGCACATACATGTAAAGGTACACACTGTATGTGTACATGTACATGTGTACATGTAAACTGTTAAATCTACGAGACTTTCGGTCTCCCATATTTAGAGCCTAATAAGTCTGCAATTAAAAATAGACTGGTCATCTAAAATTTATTTTCCATCTAACAATGTTTATATGTACATGTACATGTATGTACAAATGTATATGTACAGGTACATGTTACATTCAAAAAAATGGTTAAAAGTGCGTGGACAATTTGACCTTTTGACACAAAAACGCTTTAAAGTTGATGTAAATTGGTCAAAATTTAATTTTGCATTCATTTGCGTTGCGTTTTATGGCGATAAATTGGTTGCTAAAATTTATTTTTATACTTATAACAATTCTTTATATATGTATGTACATGTAACAAACCTGTTTTCTAGATTTCTTGTCCTGGAGGTCATAAACTTGTCCCCTCAAATCAGACACTTGAACATGACGTGGTATGCCCCTGCAGGAATAATAAAATATTTAATAATTTTTTATTATTAAATAATTTACTTTTCAGGTTTGGAGGATTGCCTGCTGTCTTCCATACTAGCAGTTAATTCATCAATCTTCTGCGTCTGTGGATTAAATATAATATTAACACACTGATTCATGTTAACACTGATATATCAATTTAAACACTGATTTTGATTCCATTCACACGTCAACTCGTATTAATATCAGTTTTCTAACCTTTTGAGCTATATCAGCCTCGTGCTGAGATATTTCTGATTCATATTTTGCTGCCCTAAAATGATTAAATACCACTGAAATATAAATTGATGAACATGTACATGTAATTGATTAGAGTTGCACCGATTACCGATAAATTAATCGGAATCTGCCGATTTTTGCATTTTTCTATTGAATCTGAATCGGTTAATTTCATTGCAGATTATTATAACTATTAATAATTATTATAACGCGCGGCCACACCCACATTTGCCACATGTAAAAATGTCAAAGAGAAGGTCACCAATATGGCAGTATTTTACTGCTAGCGAAGGGGACAAGTCAGCTATTTGTACTACCTGTGGCACTCAAGTTTCTAGAGGAGGAAAGTCTGTAAAGAGTTTCACTACAACTAACCTGGTTAACCATCTCAAGAAACATCCTGCTGAATACAAGGAATATGAAGATGCGAAGCGGAAAGAGCAGCTGGATGCTACTAGTACTCCCTCTAAACCAGTCTTGAAACAAGCAACGCTAGAAGAAAGTTCTACTAAAATGCACAAGTGGGCTCAGAGTGACAGCAGAGCAGTTAATATAACAACTAAGGTAGCAGAAATGATTGCTGTTGACTGCCAACCAATGTCTATTGTTGATGATATTGGTTTTACTCGTGTTTTACATGCAGCAGAGCCTAGATATACTCTACCTAGTAGGAAGTACATGACTGACACAGTAATTCCTCGAGTATATTCTGAAGTGCATATGAAAGTGGCAAAGGAAATATCTGAAGCAAAATGGGTGAGCTGCACTTCTGATATTTGGAGCACCAACATCAGTAATGAATCCCTCATAAGTCTTACAGCTCATTGGTTGTCACCTATTTCATTTGACAGGAAATCAATCATGCTTAATGCTAGTCATATTCCAGGATCTCATACTGCTGATGCAATTAGAAAGAAGTGCAAGGAAATGCTTCAAACATGGGGTATTGAAAGCCGTTTACATTGTTTTGTTGTCGATAATGCTGCCAATATGAAGAAGGCTATGGCTGATGGAAAATACATACATATAGGCTGTTTTGCTCACTCAATACAATTGGTGATTCATGACGGCATAATATCTCAGCGCTATGTTCTCGATATTTTAGCTAAATGTCGACGTATAGTTGGCCATTTTAAACATTCCCAAGTAGCATCATCAAGATTAAAGGAAATTCAATCTAGCTTATGCTTACCTCAGCAGAGATTGAAACAGGATGTTTCCACTCGATGGAACTCAACACTACATATGCTACAATCAATAATTGCTCAAAAAGTAGTTCTAGCTGCTTATAACACTGAGAGTGATGATATTCCTCAGTTATCTTCTCATCAACTAGATATCATTGATAAGATAATAACTGTGCTGAAGCCAGTTGATGACATAACTAAATCTATTTCTTCTGAGAAAGCTTCTGTTTCAATCATTATTCCCTATATTCGAGCTTTACGAAAGACCTGGGAGAAGAGTGGTGATGATCGGGGAGTGCAAACAATGAAGAAAGAGCTATTGGATTCACTTAATCGTAGGTTTTGTGACATTGAGAGTAATGAAACACTAGTGGTAGCTACACTTTTGGACCCGTGCTTCAAAGATAAGTTCTTTACAAGTATAACAGAGAAAGAAGCAGCCAAAGAATTATTGATCACAAAGATTACTAACAACTCACATGATCAGGACATTGAAGAATCTATAGAACCACCAAATAAACTTCCCAGAACAACCGTAATGCAGTGCTTTGATGAAATTTTAGAAGAGTCAAGTGCTAGATTATCATCTTCACTATGCTACACAACAATTGTGGAACAATACTTGGCTGAACCCAACATTGATTATCACGCAGGAAATGCATATCAATGGTGGGCTGAAAATAAATGCAGATTTCCTAGGCTAAGTGAGCTAGCACTGCAGTACTTATCACCTCCCCCTACTTCGGTAGCATCTGAGCGACTATTTTCGACAGCTGGGGACATTTATGATGAAAAACGTAATCGATTAGATCCTGAGAGAGCAGAGACCCTTTTGTTCATCAAAAACAACATAAAATTATTAAATTAATGTTATTTACACATGCATTATGTAGTTTGTACAATTACAGTTACACACATGCTTGATTTATTAAAAATAAAGATTGCTTTCTTAATTGGCATTTGCATCTGTATCGGCAGTTTTAGTACAGCATAATCTGTTTATCGGAATATCGGCAAATTATTGTATTGGTGCAAATCTATCCATTAATGCTTTCTAAACAATTGTTGGTATGTTCACCTACTGTAAAATTAGCTTCTTTGTAACACTTCACCCACTCAGAACGAATAGGATGTCAGTTGATATCATAATAATGAATTACTGCCTTAGTCCTGACTCCTTCAGATCCTTGTAATGATTATCGTACTCCTGTGTTGAAGTGGAATAGGCAAGCTTTGTTAATTGCTCCAGAGCATGGTCACGCCGTCCAGAAAGAATACCAAGCATGTCACATGTTTTCTTGTCTCAGTGTTCTTACTGTATGAAATAGACAAATAATCAGAAAAGCAGCAGAAAACTCTTTCTTGAACACCACACGCTCTGTAAAATTTGATATAACAACTTTTGTCTGAGGCCACTTACTGTTGTGTGATTTGAATGCCCTTACCATCTTTTAACTGCTTTACGTCTCAAAATCGGTTAGAAAAGTTGCAATAATCTCAGTCTGCCCATTACTGCAATTATAATCATGACATACAAGGGCATTTGTAGATCATTTAACTTACAGTTGCCATCTATCATTTATGTTGGAGAGGCCAAATATTCTATGTCCAATAACATTCCCTATACTGTATCACTTGGAGGTGACAAGTTGACACTGTAGAGAATGTAAGGCAATAAGGAATAATTCAGACAATGAACATATGAGATTAACTGGGTTTCAACCCGTTGCTGAGGATTGGCACACTTAAGTAGTTTTACTTGAGGTGAGTTTTGTATAGTGTGTATAGTAAAATTATGTTTGTAGTAGCACTATTGCATGTA